CATTATTAAATGCAAGCGGTTTGTGGTTGTCTGTGCACTCCGACATACTCAGGATATGGCCAAGAGGTACACAGTCCATGTGAACTTGGACTGTGTTCTGGCCCTTACTCTTGTTGACAACATGTTTTCGGACAGTGACTCAGCTGAGTTGTGGTAAGTTATTGTACCACTTTTTAGTGCCTTCTCTCACCTAAGTCCCAGTTGAATCCTGTGTCACATGGGTATCACCGGCAATGAAATGGTTGACCTGAAGGCTAAATCCAGTGTTAGTTATCCCTTACTCCTCCTACTTTAGAAAGTGATGAGTTTTAGGATTGTACATGTGGCCCTTGCTCAAGAGTTATGAAAGGAGGAATGAGATTCCTGGCATGACAGGGAGGGACATGAGTATTATGCTTGCAAGCCTAAGATATACCAACACCTCCTTGGTCTGACACGTGTAGATTCCTATATTTTGTTGAGAATCCACAGTAGGACATACTTAGTTGGCCATGATAGCTGTAATGGGAAGGGTGATAGACACCACTGGACTGAGTACCCCTACTATGCTAGAGGGTTTCCCATTAACGAAGACTTGAATAAGGATTTAGCAGTCTAGAGGTAGAAGTCCTAGTAGGTGGATCATAGGTGGTTAGGACTGAGAATTCCTCATCATATTAAGGTGGTAGATAGGAAATTGGTCATAGCAGGTAACCCCTTTGATAGTACACTGTATTATGCGGAGACAATCTGATAGACTTCAGAATTGTCTAGGCCAACCAAGATTCATTTCTGTAGATGGAGATTGTGTAGGAAGGCTCGAATTCACTTGCTTCTTTATGACAACTAAGAGTGAAGTAAATTTGATAAAGTAAGATAGAGTCATAAAAACAATATTATATTGATAAGGTCTCTTCTTCGTTGCTTGATAATATCTAAAGCTTGGGAGGCACTTTGACATTTATATTCCACGTCTGAGTGTTCACGGACTACATCTATTTATCATACAACTATATATCTCTCTGATTATAACTTGCAATGTCGGGTCTTCCTAAAAGGTGCAAACCCCTGCAAACTCAGAAAATCACCACACCCGCCTTGGCAATTAAGATATAACTAACCTAAAACTATACTGTTCCCAATAGTACTTATCTAATCATTAGAGTCTTTAGACTTGTGGCCTAGTTCTCAAGTCGCACTGAGTTGGTCCCAATTGTCTCTGTCATTGATGAAATGATCAGTTTCATCTGCGGATAGCATCTGTGAAGGTAGTCATAAGCGCAACCTTTTTAGGTCGCTTGACTTTAAACCTTCATAACTCTTTATCTAACTGATAGATGTCTTCCGGAGGACTTTCTACTAATTCGCAGAAAGCTATTCCATTGGATTGAGAAATATTCCCTCAGTTAACAACCCTTGATTGCTCTGAGTAATAGGGTTTCAATCACTGTTATAGTATTGGAAGTTATCCTCTTAACTACAACATATTCCAAAACCTAGTTGCAATACTCTGTAAAGTTCATTGGCTTCTATGGTAGTGTCCCTCGGAGTTCTAAACTCTTCTGAATAATGTAGGATGGATGTGATTGTATTGGTCTCTTGCGGAGATTTTTTACCATTTGATACCCTTTCTTTGTGTGAAAATGTTCCGTTACCTATGGCCCACATGAAAGATATTACATATTTAAAGTCTAGTAACCTTCTGAATAGTTGACAGAAATACTCCATTCCACTTCTCAGACCTAGCCGAAAGTCCCTTCTCATATATCCCGTGAACTGAATCTGGTCGAATAGATGGCAGCAATGTATATAGTGTTATTCTGACATTCTCAATTCTGTAATATTATAGTCACAGGATGCAACTGAGATTGATATATACAATGACATGCAGGCCCAGTAAGGAGGCCAAAGGCAGATGTTGGAGACCAGAGATTCCAATTCTAGATAAGGTTACCCTACTTAGAGTGAGGTTACAATACTTAAGATGGCTCCTAGATATCGGATCCCAGTATTCCTAACACACTAATAGTGAAAAGGAATCACTGGTTGGTGATGGTAGGAGACCCAACAACTTACACCCAGTGTGAGAGGAAACATGATGGCAGAGGTTGTGTTTTACCAAGTACAGTAACTATGCCAAAGAAGTGGTTCTTCTTGCCTGACTAACGGCGATGTAACTGTCCCTGCTACGGCACTGTTATTTCTGCAGCGGCTACACAGAAGCGTGTCACCTTTGCTGAACATTTCGAATGATAGTCTCAATGTCTCCAGGCATGTCACAATCTGTTTTGGCATTCCCAGCACCCACAATATGATAGGTTAGACCTTGTAATACAAACTTCGCTGGTCTTAAGATGTGTGAAGGTGAACGAGATGTTGAAAGTACTCAGTTGCTCCTTTTGTGGTTTGGTTTTGGCCAGAAGATACCTTGATCTTGGTTTGCATTAAAAGAGGACGAAAAGCTGTTGTTATAAACTATATGTTTCCTTTATAGAATACGTGAGACAGATTGTATTGGAGGCAGATAGGGATGAAAGTATAAGATGGTGGTTGGGAAGCAGGATGGGAAGACGTGTAAATTCCAGACAATGCTAGTAGTTGTGAGTACCCATGAGCACACATAGGTAGTGACTTTTTTTGGGATTTATGTTTGGGTGGAGCAGTTGCAAGATAGAGTGGTCCATAGTAGTGTATTTTAGATAGTTTGTTTTATAGGGTGAGGGGGAGACTGGTTGTATATCAGTGTTGGCGGTACTAATATAAATAAAATTAAATTGAAATCTAAGTCCTTTTCCTACATATTACTTTAATAAATATAAAATACCTTTACACTCTTTATTATTATCATGACCTTTATTATTATTATGCCGAGAAAAACTTTATATGAGACAGAGTTAGAGAAAGGTTACGATAGGCATTCCAAATAAAAGACAAAGGTCTTGTACTATTAGTAACATTGGCAGAGGTCTAAGCGCTATTGTATAGCAGAAGAAGGAGAGAAAAGAAGAGAAGTATTATTCCCCATTGCCAAGAACTAACTATCCAAAGGGGGATTATTACATTTTTACTATCTTCTATATATTATTATATATTATAATATAAATTAAGTATATTAGAAAACAGTTACATATTACAGAAATATAGGATGGCTCATAGGAGGAATCTAGAGGTAATTCTAATAAGTAGTAGTACTATCAACTTTTTTCATTTATTGTATGATCAAATTAATTTACAAAAATTGAAATAAGTAAGGAAGATCCCACTTGATTGGACTTAAATTTTAACTCAAAACATAAACACCTACTATGTTTTTATTAAAATAATATGTTTTGGTTAATTCAAGTATATAGAATTTGCTCTCATAAAATAACCTTCAGATGTCCTCCAGATATAGAAGATATGATACTGGTATATGGGAAGTTCTAAATACAAACTGACTTTCAGGATATAAAGATTTCAGCTTTTGCTAATGTAGGAATGATCTTAAGAAATTAAATAATCGTAAGATATTTGTTTTGTGAATAATACGAAGGCAGTATGAAGGGGATGTTTGAATTACAATCATACTTTCCTCTTGCTCCACTCCACAAGACAGCTCCTTGATTGGTTATTCATCCCCACAGATTTTTTTTGCAAACACCTACTAGGTATCTGGTATTGAACAAAAAATGGGCTGATACTTAGTGTTCGTTACAGCTGAGTGCGACTGTGCCCCCGAGTGCTACGCAGCGCTGCACATACCGATACCGGTACTCGAGCACTCAAGATTGCAATTGTGATACTAGTACTGTGTATGCCGGCAACTGCCGATGCCTTTGTTGAGGAAACTTTTCGTTGTGCCAGAGCACGGCGCAATACCGGTCCGTGGGCGGTTACCGGTATTTATCAGACTCCCCCACCATGCCGGTTCTATCGCCACGGAGCATGATTACCGGTGGAAATCTACCGAATACCCGTACTCGGGTACGAGTACAATATTATTTGAGCACGGTACGAGTACTGGTACCGTGCCGGTAGATTCATGTTTCACTCTGATATCCGCATTCTAGTGCTCTTTGACATCTTTCCTGACCATCCATGTCAACCATCATGCTCGATCACTACCCCATGCTAATTATTCGGGGCTGCACCAAGTAAAATTCTTTCACAGGAACAAGAAAAAGGCTCCCTGCGATTGGATTCCCTACCCGAAAAATTCTACTCCAGTAGTCTCCATCTTCAGCCTCCTGGGTTCGAACTTCCAGTTTCTGTATACGAGTACCGGTATACAGTAAATTTAAATTTACCCGCATCTGTACTGTTCCGCTGAGGGCTGACACCTCATCGAAACGAGAGCCGCCTCTTCCTTAACAAGCCCCCGACTCAGATGCAGAGTGCCTGCCATCGCCGAAGCATGGGAGCACCTCGATTCGTGGACGTTGTTAGGCGCATATCGCTCTTATTCCTCCTTTCTTGATCAAAAAGTTGGAACCTGATATCACTTCTCGAATTCCCTTCGTATATCGTTGTTTCCGGTAAGTGAGATGAGAGAAATGATCATCTTCAGAGGCTTCGCCGCATGGGAGCTGCGGTAGTTGTGCAGTACAGTACCATGCTAGTAGTTGCAAAGTGATACCGCGCTCACGGGCCTCAGTCGCCCCGACCGGTCACCAACCAAGCCCTAAGTATTGATCGTTGACCAATGGCAACCAGGGACTGTATCAAGTTTTGCAACGCTTTTGAATCGACGAGCGCCCCCCTCCCCCACAGTGACTGAGGAAGCACGCGCAGTATGATACGAGTAATATGATATAAGGGTCCACAGTAGAACTGCGTATTATCATATTATTACCGGTACCATACAATCCACGACCGGTACCCTGCCCGTAATGGGCCTGGGTTTATCCTCTTTACTGGCTTGGCATATGAGTTGGTACGAATATTTCAGTACGGTAGTTACCCGGCCAAGGGGTTTCTGAGACGTGGCTGAATAAGGACAGATATCTCTCCTTTTCGGTGGCTTGCTCCTACAGACAACCTTGGGTCGCAATCTTCTGGCCAACTTGAACCATACTTCAATATGCCCGCACCAAATTCCCAGATCGCCGGAGCCGGCGAGGAGGGCAGTCAGGTGAGTGTGCTTCATTTGCCCTCCTATTAACATCTGCCGAGAATGAAGCTTTCTTGCTTACAATCAGTTCGTGTACCTCACAGTCGGTCATCAAATCCGTCATTAATGGGGTTCTCATGTTTGTGGCCATTCAAACCGCCATGAGTAATCTATTCCTTCCGGAATCTTATCATAACTCTTGCTGACTTGAATAGAGTTCATAATTCCTAAGGCTGGTACGCCCGCCACAACAACTCCATCCTCGTTCGAGGAACGGACCTCTCCGGATGATCCATCGACATACATGTTTGTCCCCGAGAAGGTTTTCCCCCTTTGGCCTGCGGAGGAGCCGGTAGATATTTCCATCTATGTATCTGAGTTGCTCGCCCTACCGCCCCTCTCCTCTGAGCAGATGGCCTCTAGCCTTGTTTTCAACGAGAAGAACTTCCAGGCCGATGATTGGTCGGAGCACCGTAGTGTGACTGTTGATATCCCACTCTCCCAACACGTACAGAACAATGGCACCCTGTTCGCACACATTTATGTTAGTCGTTCTGGGTCCGCTATGGATCCTACCGACCCCGATTATGACAGCTCCAAAGCCTTTAGAATCATCTCGCTCTTGACTAAATATATGCCAAAGAAGAAGATTGTTAAGACCAAAAAACTAATCGGCGGTGACGATCAGGAGAGCGGGGATGAGGAAGTTGCTGTACCTGACAACTCCGGATCAATAGTCTCATACTTTCATCCTAACCTAACACTGGATGTAGTCAATAATGCTGATATTATCAGCTTTAACACACTTCCGCCACCACTCCGCCAACATGTGGTACTCGAGGCGACTGGCGCTCGGGACTCAACCGGAAAGAATGGATGGTATTATCCAATCGTGTTTGTGAACGAGTTCTGGCAGTTGAAGGACCACATGATTGAGCTGAATAGCACGGTTAAGTATGCTTCAGTATTTCAACCCCCCTCAAATAGGGCTAACCCTAAAACAACAGATCTATCCCTATGCATATCAATCTTGCTCCAACTAGCTGGTGGAAATTCCAGATGTACTCCTCTTTTGATGCATCCTTTAAACAAACGGTTTCCAACCCCGGAATTGGAGGTTCAGCAAACACGGGGGCTGAATTGGAGGAACTCAAGCGTGTCCTTGTGGAAACTAACATCTTCCTTCTCGGAACCACGTTTGTTGTATCCATATTGCATACCATCTTTGAGATGCTGGCTTTCAAGAATGATATATCTCACTGGCGTAACAAGAAGGACAACGTAGGTGTCAGCGTGAGAACCATCCTTGCAAATGTCTTTATGCAAGCTGTTATCTTCCTTTACCTCCTCGATAACTCGGATGGAACTTCCTGGATGATTTTGGCAGGTCAGGGATTCGGTATACTCCTCGAAGCATGGAAAATCACACGCATGGTCAACGTCAAGATCCGACCTGTCAACAGTTTCATTCCTTATAGGGTGATTTTCGAAGATAAACACAAGTTATCAAATCTTGAGAAGGAAACTAAGGAGTACGACGAGGAGGCCTTTAAGTATCTTTACTGGGTTGCTGTTCCATTATTGTTGGCCTACGCCGTTTACTCCGTTCTTTACGACACTCATAAGAGCTGGTACAGCTTCATTATCACTACCTTGGTCGGTAGTGTTTATGCTTATGGGTTCCTGATGATGGTACCGAGCTTGTATATCAACTACCGTCTTAAATCTGTCGCGCATATGCCTCGTAAGACCATGATTTACAAGCTGCTTAACACGTTTGTTACCTTACTCCACTGATTGCATCCCTCACTGCTAACGATTGCTCCAGTTTTATCGACGACCTCTTCGCGTTTACAATTAAGATGCCCACGCTCCACAGACTCGCGACACTTCGAGACGACGTCATCTACTTCATTGCTCTATACCAAGCCTGGATCTACCGAGTGGATTATAGACGTGTCAACGAATTTGGACAGGGAGGAGCTGATGACGGCGAGGATGATAGGAAGGAGATTGAAGCCAAGAAGGAATTTGAGGGCGCCACCCCCGTTGGAGTGGGGGCGAAAACGAACGGAGCAGATAAAGGCAAGAAGGCCACCAAGAGAAAATAGATGATGGAATATTATAGCTGTTATAGACGTATCTTGGCTTAATCGGAGGTGGGGGTGGGGTTGCGTGGTGTTACTAATTGGTGGTGTAACTTATGAATTGTCATGACGTATCACTCGATATTTGATTCTCTTCCGTACTTTCCTTTTCTAGGGAACAGACGGAATAAGGCAACTATCGTTCCCTATAGCATATCAATTATGGTAGGCTGCGAAAATTGTATAGTTTCAGATATGGAGGTTAGGAGATATCGAGCAAAAAAGATAATTGCACTTGCGCTACCATTTGCAATCGGCCCCCTAATCTATCGGGGAATAGGATTATACGTGGCGCCTATAATGGAACCTCTCCGTCCCCCCCGGGTAGGTATAAGGTGCACACTACTTGAGTGAGTGGCAGTGTCATCGCATATCACTCGTGAAATAGTTGTTATTTTCCGTTGTAATTCTTGATTGAAGTTGTATTGCTTGCTTCATTATACCTATCCCTGAGGGTCCATAGGAACCTATGTATGCTACGAGTACAGGGAGGCGGACTTAAACAACACATGATGTATGGTAGAGGCAAGATGCCGCAAGAAAAAAGGAAAAGTCAACGACAATGGTGTCGCATGCCGTAATGCAACGGTAACAGAAGGGAAAAGCAAGCTATGATAACTAAACTAGTAGCACGATAGAGTTTCAGAATGAAACTTCTGTCATATGGTGCGAAGCACTTAAAAGTGTACCTGAGAGGTGCATTTTTGTAATGCCTGTTTTTGGTTAGGTTAAAGGGTTATCAAAAAACGATTTCAACATTTCTAACCCCTTAACCTAATCCAAAATAGGCATCACAAAAATGCACCCTTAGGTACTGTACAATACTATGATATGATAGTACCGGCATGGTACACCTTTCAAGCGCTTTCGCACCATAATCAAATACGCAACCGATGCATATTTGAAAGTTATATTGGTCTACAACATTTTCTCCTCCTCCTCGAGATTTAGATGAAATTTTCTTCCATTGGCACCAGGCTGAGTAGGTTAGCCCTTCCCTCATTGGTCTGGTGTCGCTTTGGTTGTCCGACCAGTTTTCTTCAAACTGTTGGGCGATAAATCAATATGGCTCGGCCAACTGAGAGGTCTATCCGTCTCCTGTCGCTCTACCGTTAGAGACTCAGGTCAACTTGCCTCATGACACGGCACGATGGTGGGTGTTTACGCTACGATGACTTTATCTGATTTTTTATTCATTTAAAATATTTTAGAGCATTAACCATCACGATCCTTTCACTCTACAAGTACTATACTACTACCGGTAGGATCTCTAGCGACCAGTTACCCGGTTGAGGATAGGAGCAGAACAGGGTACAGTACGGTACTTGTACGGTATTCATACCATAAGCGTCCACCCAATAGTCTAAGCGAACAGCCCCAAGGCCGAACCCATAACTGAGTCGCTACGCGCATGTTCCACAAGTTAGCTCGCTCGGCGAGGGCAATACGGTATTGCTCTTCTGGCTGATTCCACAGGATGCCCCTTGTCCTAAATATAAAAGCTGCTGGCTGCTGTTTAACCCGCAGTACACGTATCATACCGCTGCCCCTCCGTCCCTCCACCCCCCCCCCCAATAGTTCCTCCCTCCTCACTACCATCTTCTCCGCATACTTTTCCTCTCAAAGCTTCAACCTCTCATACTTTCCCATCATGGACGATTATAGAACTCTTCGGGCCAAAACTTTGGGCTCTACACAGGAGGGGGAAGCTGTTACGGTGAATACCAGAGCTCTTGTATGTGGCCACTCCCGTCAGAACTGCACTTCTGCCTCGTTCTTTGCTAACCAGGAGAATCAGATCGACAAAGTGCTTGCCCGATATTCTAGCGAGAATACAACGTAGCCATCACCCTTCAGCTTTCCCTAGCCTTGTTTCGTGACTAATGCGGCATTTCTTTTGTACAGACTGCGAGAACTTCTGCAGAATGCCGCAGATGCAAACGCCAACTCTGTGGAGGTTCGATTCCAATCGGACGGATCTGCTTCGGTACCCCCAGGCCATCAACCCGATTTTAGAGAGCTCGTGAAGTCTAAGATGCAACGAATTTTGGTCAAGAACGATGGCCATTCCTTTCGAGATGAGGACTGGCTACGGTTGAAGAGGATTGCGGAAGGGAATCCTGATGAGACAAAAATTGGCGCTTTTGGTGTTGGCTTTTATAGTGTGTTCGCCGATTGTGAGGAACCTTTTGTGTCCTCCGGTGATCAAGCTATGGCGTTTTACTGGAAGGGGAATTCTTTATTTACTCGGAGAGTAAAGCTTGATACCAGGGACCGATATACAACCTTTTTGTTGGAATACCGGGAGCCATCCGAACTGCCAGACTTGAAAGATTTATGCAAATTTTTTGCCACCTCACTTACTTTCGTTAGATTGAATTCTATATCCCTCTATGTTGACGACCATTGTCTATTGTCGTTACAAAAGAAGACATCCCCATCAGATATTTTGCAGATACCCGAGTCGATAGATCCGACTACACGAGATAAATTGATGCGGATTGCTAGGGTGGATATGGAGAGTGTGCAGATCGATGCCAAGTACATGAATGTCACTCATTATAGCCCACCCGCAGCCGAGATTAGCCAAACCCTTAGATCGATGTTTTCTCGTTTAACTTCTCAACCGGTAGCGCCTAAGGAATCGTTTCAGTCGGACCTATCTGCTTATACAACGGTCTCAATATTTTTGCGGATAGCGACGGCGACTGTGAATACCAATGTTACTCCTTCATTCGCTAAGGAGCTCGAGCGTGCGACCAAAAAACCGCCACCCAAAACCACAAAATTGGCTATTCTGTCGATGTCAAAGGATGAGCTTGACGCTTCAGAGGATGCAGAGATATTCTCGAATGTGTTACCTGGAAAGTCCGGGAGAATATTCATTGGTTTTCCAACGCACCAGACAACTAGTATCAGCGCTCATATATCCGCCCCTTCAGTGATACCTACTGTTGAGAGAGAGAATATAGATCTTAATGCTAGAGTTATTAGAGATTGGAATGTTGAGATGCTCAGGATCGCCGGTATCTTGGCTAGAATCATGTACACCGATGAGATGTCAGTGCTGGCTAGACGGGCTGAAAGGCAAAAGGGGCAATTGGAGGACTTGTTTGACCACGCTATTCATATCATGAAGCAATTCACATTCACCCCTTCGACACCGGCCTCGGCTGTGGGAGATCGCATCGGGATGGAATTCTGGAGCTGCTCTAAGAGATCAAATTCAATTGAGATTATGTCCACCCGGGGAGTTTTGTCGAGTGACCAAGTGCGGTTGTCGAGCGATGTGAACTTTTTGGTTGGATTACCGCTACTACCGGAGAAAATTGCGAAGGAGGCGCATGAGTTTATAAGAGGCTTGAGGGATAGGGGCTTACTAACGGAGATCACTGCCACCGATATTCAGCAGGAGCTCCAAAGCAGAGCCTTGAGTGGGGCACAGCAAGATTTGTTCCTAAAGTGGCTGGCAGAAAAACGGACTAAGGGGGATCTAGACGATAACATCGTTCAGAATTTGCTTAGTGTAGCCGTTGCAACGACCTCCTCGCCGGAGGGTTCCAACGGAGATGTTACAATTCCTATCTCTCTGGGAATGATAAAATATTATGTCAATCCCAACAAGTTGTCCCCTGATGTTCCGATCCCTTCAGACTGTCTGCCATTTCAAGTCACCAAAGCTTTGAGTATGCCTCAACTGATGGCTCTTGGGTGGGAAGAGATCGCAGTTCTGACCTGGTTGAGATTTATCTGCTCCCCACCTCATCCCTTGCCGGTCTCGCAAAGTATCGAGCTTTCACCAAAGTTCTCAGCGCAGGTTTTAGCAATCGTTTCCAAGAATTGGGACCAAATGACCAGCACGCAGAAGGAGAATGCTGTTGGCATTCTGAGGGACAAGAGGTGCATACCCACAAAGATGGGCTTGAGGATTCCTACGGAAGCATATTTCAATACAGTCAAGCTTTTCCAGGACTTACCGTTGATTGTGAGTATGAATGGTGTACGAGACAAATTTCTTACAGCCCTCGGCGTTAGGAAGACGGTGGAACTTAAGCTGGTGTTTGAGAGGTTGATGAACGAAGATGCGACCCAACGCGGGACAAAATGGAGCCATTTAGAGCTTGTCAGATATCTCACTAGTGTCTGGAACGATATCCCTAAGGACGACATTGCGAAACTGAAGAACACGGCTATCTGTACGGCGGAAACTTCGAGTCCTCGGTCTCAACAAAATCGGTATAAAGTTTCGCAGTTATACGAACCAGACGACCAACTCAGAAAGCTTGGATTGCCGATACTATATTGGCCGAACTGGAAAGGTGGCAGCCCGGAGGGGAAATTTTTAACAAGTCTTGGACTCAAGAAGTATCCGAGTGCGCAGGATGTTTTAAGGATAGCTGCTGTTTCTGCGGACAATGAAACTCTTAGAGAGGCTGCCCTACAATACTATGTGAGCAATTATTATCATAACGGATATACGGCTTTCAACGCCGCGGGGATGGAGATGGCGTTTTTACCACTTAAAGGTAAAAGTCAGGAGAAGGCGAGGCTGGCCGCACCTAGGCACTGTTATTCTAACCCCCGGGCTGCTATCATGGGCTATGATATTTTACGGAGTGACCTTCAGGAGCACGGACAGAAGTTTGGGGTTTCCGCCGATCCTCCTATGGCGCTCTGCGTCGACAAACTCATCCTTCAACCGCCGACCACGATCGGCGACGCTCAGGAAAAGTTCTCCTACTTTTCAACCCGACTTGCGGAGATTCTACCGCATCTTGTCGAGCGATTGTCGAACGCCCGCATTGTGCCTGTGCCGTTAAAACCCGGCGATATGCGACCGGGTCCGGCTCGGAAACTGAAGTGGATTCCGCCAAAGAATTGTTTTCTAGGAGGTCAGGGAAGCCTTTATTATGAGATCTTTGACTTTGTCAACTTGGGGCAAGACGCAAATGCTTTCCTGACTAAATGCGGAAGTAAGCATGAGCCTACAGTAGCAGAGGTTGCCTATATGATCGTTCGTGAGCCGGACCGTTTACTCGATGTCTTCGGCGGCGAGAAGAAATACATGGGGGCCTTGAGAAGTATCGCAGAGAATTGGAGCCACTTGAAGAAAGACAGAATGCTCCTCAAGGAGATGCGGAAGAGTCGGTTTCTCGGAGCGCTGAGAGAAGTTTCGGCCGGCAACGGAGCTGATGCAAGTGCCGCCGAAGAAAACGCCGATGGAGGTACCATCAAGGAGTTTACTCTGGCTAGGGCAGACCAGGTTTTGGTGATCGATGAATATGTGACTTACGTCATGTTCAAGAGCGAGATTCTGACAGCCCCGCAAGAGGACATTCTAGAGAGTTTTTATACGGTATGGAGGCTTGGCTTTGTATAGGTGGCATGAGGCTAATCTTGAGTTCAATTCTAGGCTTTAGGCGCTTCGGCTGTGTCAGCGAGGGTCTTTCCTGAATGGCGCATTGGGAATCCGATACACGCGGAGAGAGAGGTAGAAAAGTTGAGTAAGCTTGTTTTGGAGAGGTGTCGTTTATTTCTTCATAACAACAATGAAGAAGTTGCACACGATGCCCGGTGGCTGGAGAACAATCTGCGAGTTTCGTATGTTGATACCATCCGTGTGAAGAATACCCTGAGGCACGAAGGATATAAAACAATTAGTCATCTGCAGGGCAAGACTGCTTCGATAACGAAGGATACTGTCACGAAGCAGATTATTTTGTATGTGACTCGTGGTTTCTTGTATTACGACGTCTCGGTGGGACTCGTTTCTATCATACTTAGGCGGCCTAAACCGCATTCTTATTTGCTGCTGGAGAGTTTGTTAAGCACTGGTATACTTTTTCGCAGAATCCCTGGATTGTTGGATTTACTGACAGGATTTTAGACCTGATGGTACTAAAGTCACGGGGCTTTAACGTTGAACGGATTCTAAAAGCAAAAGCCGCTGAGGCTCGTATTGCAGAAAACCAGCGTCTGAGGAGGCTCGACGAAGAACGACGGAAGTTCGAAGAAGAGGAGAAGCTGGCACGTGAAAAGGAGAAGCTGCAGCAGAAGCAGATTTTGCCGGAGCAAACGAAGCAAGCTACCCGAGAGCCGGAGGAGCGATTTGCTATGCCGGGTGCATTTACTGAACCAGTCCCTCCCATCGTGGATAGACCGAGGACGAATAACTTCTTCGGGAAGATTACTAAAACTCTTGGTCTTGATAAGGATAGCCAGCAAACAGAGCAAATAAAGGATTTCCTCGATTACCAGTCTCCCGAGCAACATCACCAAGCGCAGTTACAAATAAAGCCGACCTCACACGCGCAGCCACAAGTGGAGAAGCCTACCGAACCTCATAGAATTAGGGAGAACCTGCGTAGAGCAGTGGAATCTAGTAGAAGCCATGACTCTAATGACTTGTTCAACCTTCCGGAAACTTTGGTGGTTAAGGAGCAGAAGAGCTATTGCGACTCTCGGTATGTCTCCCGCACTATCTTTTGATATCTCAGTGCTAACCGGTAGAAAAAGCCCGAGCCACGATATCACCTTTGCAGGATATTCCGCTCTGGGGATCAAGTTGTATGTCGACAGGAAGGCGAAGGAGCAAGATATTTTCGGCAAAAACGCCGCGGCTGTCAATTCGTTCTCCAAACTGCTGAAGGAAATCTCTGAGATATATTCCCTCAGAATCGCCTCGATGCACATTTACTTTGATGAGCAAGGGACATCGATTGCGTTTAATACTAGTGGTTCAATATTCTGCAATCTCCGTTTCTTCCTAGAACTCCACGGTGAAGCAGTTGCTAAAGGCGATACGGAGAAAGCGTTGGCGTACTGGTTCGTTGTTGTCGCACATGAGCTGGCGCATAATCTCGTCCCGGAACATTCTGCACAGCATTCCTTTTATGCGTATGTCTACTACTTCCTCCCTCCCCTCCAGCTATTTTGTCACCAACTAATAGGATTGTTCACAGCGAAACGTTTACACAGGAATACTTTATCAGGGCCATGGCGGCAATTCAGAAGGGGAGGGAAGCGAAGACTCAATAATCTAGTTTTGCTTAGATAGAGGGATTTAGACTTTGATGGGGTTTTTTTTTTTTTTTGCTTAGACCCTTGACAGGGCTCGGAATTTGGATTTGTGTCATTGTCGTTAGCTGTAGTTTGGCTATGATATCCTGGGTAAAATGTTTTTTTTCTTTCTTCCTTTTCTTTATTCCCTTTTGGGGCGGGGCTGTGCTGGAATCTGTCGTTCGCGATCGCGATAATTGAATTCTTGGGATTTGTGTACTGTGCAGGTCTTGGTCATATTTTATCACTCGGGGCACCCTACACGATTGTTTGACATGCGGGTGGAAACACGGCAGAGCCATCCCGTACAGTGGATACATATAATCCGGTACGCAGGCTACTTGGGGGGGGGGGTGGTTTAGAGAGAGTATGTATGATATCGCACTATGCGGAAGAGGAGGGAGGAAAAGTTAAATGCCATTCCGTAAGATCTACTCTTTCCTTCCTTCCGCCCAAGCGCTAGCTAGACTAAGGAGAGGGGGTAGTTCTTGGAGTTTGTTGGTGGGGGTGTGATAAATTTATTATAACTTTCTTCTCTGGATCATACCTGAGGGGCAAAGTGAGTATCGATTTAGTGTCCCTTGGCTTGGTGTTTGAAGTGGTATTTGATTTAGTGCTTTAGTGGTTTTTGGTGAAAGGAAGGGGGGAGAGGGAGAGAGAGAGTTCATCACTGACAGGGTTCTAATGGTCTAATAGACGTTAACATGAGCGGGGAAGGTTGGGTGGGAGTTCAGCTCCTTGGCCTTCGGTGGGGGGGGGGGTAGGTTACCCCGGCATTAAAAACTCGCGGTGTTCAGGGTGATTGGGGATATGGCAGCGCTGTGGAGGGGTTCATCTTGGCGAGGTATCGTATTATCAAATGTGACCTGGAACTACTGTTGTGGTATATCGTACTTGTATGTCCTTCAAGAGTTTATTTTACCTTATGTGCTTGTACATTCCCTCCGTTAGATCCTTCGATTATCTCTAGGGGCGCAACGATCCCAGTATACGATCTCTGTCTGGGCTACGACGTGAAAGCGAGAATCACGAAAAGGTGCATAGGGGGGATGGGAAAAGGTATCTATCGTATTCATTCTAAAAGAAATTTCCACCCAAGGACCGAAAAAACCAGTCCTCCTCCACGCCAGCTGTAAGTGGGGCATCTTTGAAATACTATACCAACTGTGTCTTCTTACGAGTGGTAGCGGGGGGGCATAGGTATCATAACTCTCATCTCCCCTCATTGCTCGCCTCCCACGCGGCACCCGTATCTGCTCCTGCCATCGTGACATTTCTATGGTAGCTCAGTGCCTCGCGTGCCAGCTACACGTCTTTTGCTTGCCACGAATCCGGTTAGCGTCCTTCTTGCGTGTGCGTGCGTCTCCCCTGCAGGACTGGTTCAGTGCTTGCCACGCTGCAAGGAGACCGTTGCCAGAAAGAAAAAAAAAACCCCATGCCCCATGCAGCCATAATTTTCTCTTGACCACAACTTTCCTGATTGAGGTAGTTTCACAAAGTCTCACTCGAAGGTAATTGCCCTACACACTCTACTGGCTCAGCCTCGGTTCTTCTCCTAGGGACTGGGTAAATAAATTTCGAGACAGAAGTATGCCTCCGCTTACATTCACCTCGGCCTCTCCGGCGGGTAGTAGTGTTTCTTCGCAGTCGCTTCCCTCTCCTCTTCATTCCTCCCCTCCCCACCATTCTCCCCACAATCACAATTCACAAAATTCTCCTCCTCCCAGCTCCTCTCCTCCCCCCTCCTTTTCTTCTTCCCCTCCTTCCTTCCAACCGCGCTCAACCGCCACCCCCCCACCCCGTCAATTTCTCCTTCCACCGAACCCCCTCCCTCCTTTCCCCCTCCGCCTAACTACACTCCCAACCTCCATCCGCCAAAGGATCCTCTCCGAAACCTCCATCTCTACCCTCCTAGCCCTCTCAGCAACACACCCCACCTTCCGCACCGACATCCAAACCGGGAGCATCGTAACCGACACCGTCTTCAACTCGACCCACAACTTCCGCACCTCGATGCGCCCCCCGAGCGTTCAGAAGCTGCTCTTCGCTGACCCGTATTTGCACCCTCTCTTCGCCAAGGCCATTTCCGAGAGCTACGATGGCACGGAGGCGCTCTCGGAGGACATCACGTCTGGAGAGTACTTTTCTTGGTTGCAGCAAAGGTGTTACGTCGTTCACCTGATAGATCGGTGCTTCTCCGAGATCCAGGACGACGCCAAGCATCACGACAAGGGGAAGAAGAGGGTTCATTGCGGGGTAGAGGGGACCAAGAGGAAGATTATCCTCCTCCAGTTCTGGAGATTGCTGGATTGTATTGAGAACTGGAGCGTTTCGGTTTCTGCATCTCTGGATGGACTACATGATGGGTTTAGACTCACGTCCGATGATTACTTTGGTTGGTGCGTGGACTTTGTCAAGGGGTTTAAGCATGCCCTTTTATCCGACGAGGAGCGCGAAGACTTGAGCGAGGTTGTGGGATTCTTTATGGAGATCCCTCCCACAAGGTTGATCAAGGGTGGTGAGGGTGAGGGCGAGGATGGTTTCTGGAGGTTTCTGGGCATGAGGTGTGTTGTGATGGGCTTTTGTCTGCTGGGCGGGTTGGAGAGGGTTGTTGGCGCTCTGTATAGGAATTATGGGCTTGCGGAGATGAGGGGTACGGGCAAGGAGGAGGGGATGGAGAGGGAGATGGCACGGGGCATTCAGAGGTGGGTCGAGTGGGAGAGGGATAGGGCTGAGAGGAGGATGTGGGATGCCAGGCGGGACAGAAGGGAGGGGGATATGAGGAGAAGGAGGAGGAGGTTGATGAGGGATTTTAGTGGTAGCGATAAGATTGAGGATGAGAATGGTGATGAAGATAATGGAGATAATGGAGATAATGAAGATGAAGATGAAGATGATTGAATATGATGAAGATGAAAGTGATGAAGTCCAGAACAACGAAGGGGTGACGACACCAAAGTGGCCTTGAGAAGATCTACTTATATATCTTGATTTTCCAAAGTTGAGCATCCATTTCGCTATTATAATGTCTTTGGGGGTCGCCCTTGCTTTTTTATCCCCGATCCATTCTGTTCTGTTCTGTTCGGTTCTTTTTTTCCCAAGATACAATTTCAGTTTTTCCTTTCTTTCTCCCCCCCCCCCCAGCTTTAACTAATCCGTTTCGCCTTTTTTTTTCCTTTTTCGCTCCCGTCTCAAGATAACACCATTGTCTGTTCATCTCCTTTATATGCTCTCTCTCTCGATACCTTTTTTTTTTTCCATCCCCCTCACATGATACCACAGAAACCGCCCTTCTCCTACAAAAACATTCTCCACACATGATATCCTATCAAGCATTCTGTAAAAACGTTGGAAAAGAGCAAAACAAATTCAATTTGCCTAGACGCACCATTTGCTGGAAAAAAATTAAAATTAAAAATTTGTAACTAAGTTAGCTTACACACGGAATTCTAAAATCATTCTCTAATAATCGAGATCTTCCGCCCCAAGAGTGAATATCAAATCCATCAAAGGGGCATTTTTATCAGGAAGTGACCAGAGCAAATCCGCTCCCGACCTCTCTTTCCCGCACCGAAGGTGGGGAAGTTATCACTGGAAGTGATAATACCCACGCAAACTATTTATTAGCTGGGCGATGATGGCTAAAGTTAGAGAGAGGAAGGAGGATCCCCCACCCCCCCCCCACTATGATACTTAAAAAGGTTAACTTTTTTTCTTATTCACACTCCTCCAATTCGAGTATCATATCATGATCAACCGGTGACCAACGATCCCCATATCTCCCATCGGCTGAGTGCCGGTAGATATATATACAGTATACGCCACACCCCGGTTTCGGCTCCTTGCGATACTCACGCATAATCACTCGCGGTACAGTACAGTACATACGTATCGGTATGTGGCAACGAGTATTGGAATGGAATGGCATTCACCACTTCCGTGCTCTGCCTTTTGGGGGGGCGTGGAAACTCAGCTTGGTTATCATTGGTTGGTGCCGCGAGAGGGTTAAATTCAAACCGCCAAGGCATGCTATGTGGTCCCCGGAAGGGGGTGATATCTGTAGTTGTCCACGAGTGGATCTTGTGTTGTGATGGTGGTGGGAATCCGTGTGTGTGTGTGTATTGTTGTCATGTCGTTAGGGAAGTAATCATTGGGCTGTGGTTTTTTTTTTTTTTTGAATCGTAACTATTGAATGGCTAGCTTCCAGCATTACTATCGAGCGTCTGCACAATAAGAGGGTCTCTTTAGGACTGATTTGGATCCCTTACGTTAGGTAGCACTTGAATAGATTCTATAGGCCCATCCAGTCACTCATATACCCCCCAAACATGAATTCAGGTTATAAACAACGCTCCCCCCCCCTTCTAATTAAAGTTTAAAAACCGTCACCTCCCCGCCCCTCTTCTCAAGAACCTTCCTAACCATACCTCCCAACTTTCCCTGCTCCTCGCGTCCCCCCCTCCACACCTTCTCCCCAGCAACCCACTTAATAAACCCCTCTGGCCCGGAAACTACGACGGCAACTTTCCCCCCCTCCATCCCCCTCTCCACATCATGAACCCCAATCCCGCCCTCCTCGTCCACAAAAACCCTCACAGAAACCTTACCCCCGGCCTTCCGTACCAACCTTCCCACCTCCTCAGCCATTGCACCCCCCGTTTCCGCTCTACTCCGCACAGCCCAAAAGATCTCCGTCTCGGGCGCGAGCGAGTTGGCAGCTAATTGCAGCGCTGGCGCAATCCCCGTACCTCCAGCAATGAACAGCGTCTTATCTACTTCCCCCGCCGGCGGGAAAATGTATTCCACCGTCGGCCCCCGAAGGAAAACTTTATCCTCGACGCCCAGTGAGAAAAGATACCTCGTCACTTCCCCGCCAGGCTCCAGCTTTACCAGAAATCTCAGCGCCCCATCGTCCTCTTCCCCAGTGTTACTAGGCAACGGGGAGTAAGACCTGGCGATCTGTAACTGCGGCTGCTTGATCTGCACCGACAGTATCCCCTCAGTCGACGGCAATTGCTGACCCGGAGGGTGCACTGGCCGCAAGCTGAATATGGTGGTGTGACTGGGCGGGGACGTCGCGACGGGGGTTTTCGAAGCGAGGGTGTATGCCGTGAAGGTTTGGGGGTTTAGGGTCTTTGGTTGTGGTGATATGTGGAAGGTTGCGGCATAGTAGATTAGTCCCGAGACGGCGACGAAGAGGGAGAGGGTTGGGGGGAGTTTTAGGCGTGTGGGCTTTCGCGGGGTGTGAGTGTAGGTGTGCTGGGTGCGGTGGATTGGTGGTGCATTTCGAAATTGATAGGTGCGATGGTGTAGGTGGGTGCGGTGGAGATGGAGCAGGAAGCGGGTATGGGAAGTAAAGGTTGCCATGGGAGGTTTTGGCTGGCACCGGTTTGGTGGGGGATTTTTAAAAGTGAGGCTTAAAATATCCTTCTTGGCGCTTGCAGGGGTTGTAATTGCCGAAGACGTTGGGAGAGAAGGAGGAAAGCTAAATCCAACGTCGACATGAGGTTTAAGACTTCTATTCGGAATGTTTCGACTTTCATCAGTATGTTTTCTCCAGTGGGAGTTGAACGGGATTGGGCCGGATCACTGATGAAGATTTAGAGCTCACCTCATCCCTTGTGTCTATTGGAAAGATAGCATGGCTTCGACTCGACGAAGACGAGATCCGCTTCACGCTCATGCCTGATCAGGGTGCTCAAGTTTTTGCGTATATATATACATTCTCCCCCCCATGATTCAAACAAGCACCTCACCCAGCTAACCACTATACCTTCCAGTAACCTCTCCATCGTCAGCCCCTCCCCCCCGCCACCTCTCCTCATAGCTAATAAATAAAACCCAGCACGCCCTCTTCGACTCCTACATAATCACCAGCGCAAACTCCAACATAATAAACCTCGAAGTCCCCCTCTCCCCACTGCACCGCGCTCTCCGCTCCTGCGTCTCCGCCTCGGACGCAACCCTACGCTTGACAAAGCGTTCCTCGGACAACACGCCAATCCTCTGCCTGACGATAACAACAACGTCAAACACCCTCGTAACCCAGGAAATCCCCGTCCGTGTGCTCTCGCCCGCCAGCGTCGCCAACATCAGGGAACCCACATGTCCGGAGCCGGACGTGCACATAATATTACCGTCACTGCACTCGCTACGCTCCGTCGTTGAGCGGTTCAACAAGCTGGACGCGCCCAAGATCGCTATCGCCGCGAACATGAACGGGGAGTTCAAGATGCGCCTAGACGGGAATGATGCGGTCAAGGTGGAAAGCGTGTGGACCGGGTTGATGAACCCGTTGTTGGATCCGGCGCACGTTCCCGGCGGCGTGGAGAATCATCCCAGTGCTATTAGGGAGAAATCGGCGTTTGCGTGGGTCAGGGTTGATGGGAAAGAGTGGGCGAGGGTGCTGAAGGTGGGCGGCATCAGTAGGAGGGTTGTGGCCTGCTTTTGCGAGGACCATGCACTTGTGCTGTACGTCTACTTGACGGATGACGAGGATGAGAGTTCGGCCGTTTCGACCGTGGGTTTTATTTTTTCTTTACAACTTCGGTTTGAAAGGTTTACGCTGATCTCGCGGACAGTACTATTTGAGTTCATTTGTCCTCTAGAGGTAGACATGGCACCACCGAAGCTCTCTGTCACTCTAGCTTTACATAATAGTTACATCATAATCTAATCAGCTTCACAATTTGAGATTTCGACACCCGCATCCAACACCTAAATATATGCTATGCACACCCCCGCAAAGCTTGAAAACCCGTGCGTATCATATTAGACTGCACAATCGCTGTCAGCAACCTCAAAGAGCACATCCCCCCCAAGACCACAACCGGTGGACACCCCCATAAAGTAACCTACCGATTCTGCAAGTTCCAATATAAAAAAAGGCATCACCCTTCTAGACACAGTAGCAATAGTAAGCATCGACTCCACTGCCAGTAGAACAATGGCATACGTAGAGCGATTCTCGAAACTAACCTATGCCCACCCACCCCCCATATCATAATAGTAGTTTGTAATACCGGCGCTGTGGTTTTCTTTGAACTGGAGCTGTCATTCAGGTATCCTTTCCTACATAGTAGCTTCCCATGAGGGGTCTAGTTCTCGGTCTATCTAACTTGCATATCGGTGGGGAACCGATCTTATCACAAAGCCCAGACCGACAATATCGCCTTGTATTGCGCTCATGGGTGGTCACTCGGTTGAATTGGTGCGGGGGAGTTTTGATATGAGAATACTTCACTAGAAATACGCAAACTACCTATCATAGTATGGTAGCAGCCAAAATTAGTTTACGTCCATCCACCCCATATAACGGTCATCACATCTCCCAAATCATTAATGTTCTAATCGTACCGCAGCAGTCAAACTCACATCACATCATCGCCGATTATAAAACTCCTCAAACCAGGAATCGGTACCAACAAACCAACCAACAAGCTGTAGCGCCACACTTCACGAGAAAGGAAGAAGAAAGCTCCGGAACCAACGCCCAAGCACGGTAAACCCAACAAACCTCTACCAAACTACAAAGCCCAATCCGCCAAATTATCCGCCAAGCTAACAAATGGCTCATCAATCTTCTTGATAGCAAACTCGCTGCAGAGCACACACTCTGCTGCGACCAACGCATCAAACTCCTCCACCTTTGCCTCACGGCGTTTCCCCCTTGCATGTTCAATCTCCTCCTTGAGCTCTCGAACCTTCCTGCTCCGGCCTACGCCTCCGCCAGCAACTACTTCTGCCGTGAGGCAGTCAGTGTGGAAGGCGTGCTGGCATGGGAAGACAAAAAATTGGCGGGAGAGGAGGGGGTACTGACACACGTAACATCGTTCGCCGGGTTCGACTATGGCATACCGTTGGTCTAGGGCTATGATGTCGCTGCGGATGTGGCTGGCGGTGTGGGTAGACTCGTCCATTTCTTTCTTGAGTTGGTCGATGTGGTGGGAGTAGTCTTCGAGAGCTGTGCAGATTTCCTCTTGGAAGGAGTCAATTATGGTGAAATCCGGGAAAAAAGGTATTAGGTCTTCAATTTTGAGAAGTTCGCAGCGTTTGAGGAACTCAATTGCTCTGTTTAGTGTATATTAGTATATAGGTGGGCTAATAAAAACGGGTCACAATCTCACGTTTTGATATCCTTTGCTCCCCGGATTACCTCCTTGGCAACCGCCAACCATAGATGTTTCCGCAATTCTGGATCCTCTTCTGGCCTGTCTGCTATGACGCTAGCAAGTTCGACATTCCCGTGCTTGAGTGCAAGTTCGACCGCCTGCAAGTAAAGGCCCATGCTCGAGTAGATATGTACACAGCTCTGGATATGACTATGCTGAATGCACAACCTGAGTGCAAAGTCTGCATCGTACCGGGGATCAACGGTGTGAGATTCGAGGTACTCTAATAGCGAGGACTCGCCTTTCGAGTAATGTGAGGCATATATACTGATTAGAGTATTATGAACAGCGGCATCAGTGGAACCGTTCTGATGTATTACAAACAGAAGATAGCGAACAGCCTGGTTTTTCCCAAGGGCCACCCTTGTGTACTTGTTGTAATTGAGCATCGCTGGTATTAAATTGCGGGGGTTGAGATTTGATTGGCGCATTAGAATATCCACTGTCTCCATAGGAGCATTACTCATTAGAACACTGGAGTACTTGTAGAAGATTTCCGGATCGTTTTGCCGCTTTAGCACGTCTAAGGCCTCTAGCCATTTTTCCCGTTGAATCCAATACGCCAGTACATAGCCGTAATCATGGACACTGTTTGCGTAGTACAGAAGCTCATCCCTTCGGCCGTGCGAGGATATGATCTCGTAGGTTGTCTTCCGATCAAGATCTGATTTATATTTGCCGACGAAATCTTGATATTCGAGCTGAACTGAAGTCAATTGTGTCTGGATGTTAGGTGATGTAGCTGCCCCGGCACCAGCATGAGAGGCCAACGTTGATACTGCGTCCTCTAGAGTGTTCAGCTTTGCCATAAAGACTTCGATCAACCAACTAGCAACCATGATCCTTTGCATTACAGACTGTCACCTCATTAGTCAACATCAGACCGGAGATATGTCGCTCCATAGATTGGCTTACACTCTTCTTCAAATTGGCCAGTTTAGCCAACAGATACATCCGCAAGGCATCTTGTTCGCCCCTTTCCAAAAACGTTAGAGCAACCTCCTCGAAGCTCTTACTACTCTTTCCCCAGATCTCAGCGGCCCCCATGTATTTCCCACTTGCCACTAAGTAGTCACCCTGCTCGATGGCTACTTGGTCCTTTTGCGAGTTTGTTTTGGCAAATCTCATAGCTTTCTCAAACGACTTTTCTTTCAACAAAATCTTCCACAAATCTCTTTCCTCGTCCGTCACCACGATCTCGTATATCTCTGCTGAGGTAAAAACCCAGAAAGTAGACTTCTTAGGATCACTACAAAGGCCCAAAACAGTCGTCCCCGGGTCTACCAGGGTCTGCTGAAACACAATGCTATCATCCAGCTGGTTAATAGCGTAGAGGGTAGTGTCGGTAAGCACTAGCACATGGTGATGCGTTAAGGCTATTGATGCTACTGGACTATCCGCACTTGGAAGGGAATCTGATGAAAACAGCTTCGACGTAGACAGGACATGGGCGCCAAGGTCAGAGTTTTGTGGTGCAATAAGAAGCTTTCCGTGATAGATCCCTGGAGTTGTGAGCCAAGCGAACGATCTCTCAGGCTCATACTCGTCAGAGGATTCCGGAGATATTGAAAGTACGCTATGGTTAGCCGATGTGTCATGGAAATCCTGAATTACTAGAATACATTAGTCACTCATAAAGCATGTAAGAATGCCGAAACGTACTTGGAGCCTCCGAATCAAAAAATTTGAGGAATATTGACCCTGGATCAGCATGCCTCTGCACTTTCCCGACCCAATGCATTATCTGCCCGGGCGTTGAAACAATCACCCGCCTCAATTGCTGGTTCCCCGGCAACCCATCCACCCACAGTCCAGTAACTGAGTGATTGTCGGGAGTCTTGTAGACCTGTTTCAAGTACCTCTCATCTTTTCTCATAAAATTATCTTCCATTCCCTCAATATAGGTTTCATATATGCTCCCATCCTGAGTTCCAATCAAGATCTCCCGTGTCGAGGCCGTGGGTAGGGCAGGTGACCAGGCTACGCACTCGATGTGAAGGGATTTTAAGCGAGAAAGATGTCGAGCCTTTGCAGACCGTGAATGGAGATAAAAGTTCTCACCGTGGGTAGTAGTTATGAGCAAATGGGAAGCAGTGGGGTCAAGGAAGATCCGACGAATAGCACCAACTTCCGAGATTTTGCGGGGAAGGTCGATGTCTGTCAAGATCACTATTAGCTGCGAACCCCCAAGGAAAGATTTCATCGTACCATCGATGTCCTGAGGGGAGGCTAAATCTATTCGCAGAAGCCTTCCGGAAGCGAGGGCGATGATAATAACATTATTAGCAACCTGGACAGCGACGAAACCGGAAGCTACCTGGAATTGAAGCTGAACGTGCTCAACGTGGAATATCGGCAGGAGATCAGCGGAAAGATCCGGGATAGCAGCAGAAGCAGAGCCAAAGCCTGGGCCGGCCATCCTGAAGGGAGGAGACGATGGTGTCCGAAGGCTTGAGGAGGTCAACACTGGCTATCTGAGGATTGCTTCCGGAGCCCCTGGAGGGTTTGGGTGGAGGTGAGGCTTAAAGGACACAATCGTGGGCTGCTGTCAGTCTCTCGCAAACGCCATCAGCCACAGGGCCACACGACCCGGACACACAGACCGCATCCAAAATCATCCGCCAAGCTTTCAATCCTAAACCTCCGATGTTTCTATGATCTCTATACCACACCACCAAATTGCCCCACTGCAGTAAAAACCCCCCACAACCCCAAAGTACATGGAGTTATCCAAGAATTGAAGCTTGAGAGCCTGACATATGCCGATCTTTCCCCTTTAATTATCCTTATCCATCAATCCCCGCCTGAGCCATCCTGCTCATTTTTCTAAAGATGCGGAGGCTACCAATCAATCTTCCCTCCTCCGTGAGACAACCATTCCTCAGCCGGCCGCTACTCAAGTTATTACCCTCCGTGGTGTTGTTACCACGATTGTCACAGTTCTATGCCACTGAAGCTTCCTCGAACGAGCATCCGCCCCGTCTGGACTTCAACGCCATTGACAAGAAATGGCGTGAACATTTGAACAACCCTAAGGAATCGCCAGATTCGAGAGAAAAGTTTTATATTCTTTCCATGTTTCCCTATCCTTCTGGTGTTTTGCACATGGGCCACCTTCGTGTATACACTATATCCGATGTGCTCGCTAGATTCCAGCGTATGCGGGGGAAAAGAGTGATTCATCCGATGGGTTGGGACGCGTTTGGACTCCCAGCGGAGAACGCTGCCATTGAGGGGGGCGTGAGTGCGAAGAAATGGACAGAAAAGAACATCGATTCAATGAAGGAGCAGTTCAGCCTAATGAATGTCGGTTTTGACTGGGATAGGGTATGCACGATCACTTCATTTTCACCTTCTTGATACACCTAGTCTAATAGTTGTTAGGAAATTAGAACTTGCTCGCCAGATTATTACGTTCATACTCAACGCCTCTTTCTCAAGCTCTACGAGCATGGGTTAGCATACCGTAAAGAATCACAAGTTAATTGGGACCCTGTCGATGAGACCGTTCTTGCCAATGAGCAAGTCTTAGATAATGGAAAATCCTGGCGTTCCGGCGCTGTGGTCGAGCGGCGGACCCTTCCGCAGTGGTTCTTCAAAATCACCGCCTACAAAAAGGCGCTGCTCGAGGACCTCGACGTGTTAGGGCCTGACTGGCCAGACCAAGTCAAGTCTATGCAAGCAAATTGGATCGGCCTATCCAGAGGTGTGAAAGTTAAGTTTCCTCTTACCGCCGGAAAAACTGATCTTGGAGGTTACACCAGCCTTGAAGTCTACACTACTCGTTTGGATACTTTACTTGGCGTACAATATCTAGCAATCTCAAGCATACATCCCCTAGCACTAAAGTCCATTGAAACCGATAAGTACCTACAGAAATTTTTACTAATTCACGGAACCGATTGGAATACAAGATCGAAAAAGGGAGAGTTGATTAAGGGTTTTAGAGCTCTAAATCCTTTAACCAACGAAGAGATCCCGGTTTATGTCGCCAACTACGTTGTGGATGGGACCGGAACAAGTGCCGTGATGGGCGTGCCAGGACATGATGCTCGCGATAATGAGTTCTGGAAGAAACGTGGACCACAAGAGGTGCCGGCCAAGGTTGTAGTCCGCCAAAGTCGATACGACAGGAAAAAGAACCTGAGGCCGGAGGATGGTGGTGTGTTCGAGGATCTCGGAACACTGAATGAGAATTGCGGAAGATATGAAGGGATGAGCAGTGCTCATGCTCAGAAGGTCTTTCTGACAGAGCTAAGGAGGAAGGGTCTTGGGAAGGCTCATGTAAACTCCAAACTTGAAGATTGGCTCATCAGCCGACAAAGATACTGGGGGACGCCCATACCAATGGTTCACTGCGAAAGCTGTGGGATTGTGCCGGTCAAGGAGGAAGATTTGCCCGTGGTATTACCAGATATTGAAAAGCTCAGTCCTAAAGGAGGCAATCCGCTAGTGTCGATGAAGGAATGGGTAGAGACTCCTTGCCCCAAGTGTGGAGGAGAGGCTAGAAGAGAGACAGATACCATGGACACTTTTGTGGACTCAAGCTGGTATTTTATGCGCTATGTTGATCCTCATAATAAAGAATTGTAGGTCAGCTACTTGCGCGCAATGTGAGTTATGGAGCAACGAGCCCGGATCCCGGTGCTGATCAACGTAAAAACACAACAAAATCCGAGGCCCGTTGCACCATGACTTAGTTTGTGCGCAGGTATATTCCCTTAATCTCTTCAAACCAGATAGCTAACCTTCCAGGCCATTCTCCCCTGAAAAGGCCAACGAGCTGCTCCCAGTAGACGCCTACATCGGCGGAATCGAGCACGCAATCCTACACCTCCTTTACGCCCGCTTCATCTCTAAATTCCTGCGCAAAATTGGAATGTGGCCACTCGGTAGTGATTCCGAAAACCAAGGCGAGCCCTTCAAACGGCTCGTAACGCAAGGCATGGTTTTAGGGAAAACCTACAAGCATCCAGCCACTTCCCAGTTCCTAAAACCCGAAGAGCTCGAAACGGATCCGGAGACCAAGGAGGAGAAGGTATCGGCAGACGGCGCATCTCCACGGGTTTCCTGGGAGAAAATGAGTAAGAGTAAATTCAATGGGACCGATCCACGAGAGTGCATCTCCCGCTGGGGCGCCGACGCCACGAGGGCGCATTTACTTTTCTTGGGACCGGTGCAAGCGGAATTGCGATGGGATGAGGACAGAATAATTGGAATGCACCGCTGGTTCGACAAACTCTGGCGGCACACCAGCATGCTCGCAGAGAAACTCGCCGACCCCGGTTTCCCAATCTTACCAAACCTCATTGCCCGCCCCGTAACCACGACGAGCATCCCGCCGGAAGACCACGACCTCTTCTCCATGCTCCAGGAAACGAACCGGAACAGCTCCTTTGCGCTCTCAAAAACACTAGCCCTAAACACCGTTGTGTCAAACCTCATCAAGCTAACAAACACCCTCACATCCCCGCCCGCCGAAACCCAACCAACACTTGCCATGACCTACCGCGTCACGAACGAGCTCCTGCGAATGCTAGCCCCCATCGCGCCAGGCTTTGCCGAGGAGTGCTGGGCCCGCCTTCACACCCACGTTCCCTCCATGGCAGGCACTCGCGTGCTTGAGACCACGTGGCCATGGTTCGTCCTTCAGGGGGAACGCCTAGGTGGCACAACGACCTGCAGCGTGCATATTGATGGGAGGTTCAGGTTCAAAGTGACGCTTGAGCGGGAGCGCTTGATGAGGAAGCTTGGCGAGGGAGAGCAGTACGCGAGAGATATTATCGCAAATAAGGAAACGGCTGGCAAATGGCTAAAGGAGAAGGAGATCGAGAAGGTCATTGTCTCATCTAATGGGAAGGTTGTTAGCTTGCTCACTAGACCGGTCACCCGGACACCACAGTAGATACCTGGGAAGGGTTTTCATAGATTATCACTCGAGGGCCGGGATGTACCGCTATTTCTGAGGAGCACGAATTGTATTTATGTGGGCACTAGAAGGACTCTACTCGGTGTATTATATGCTAGAAGGTCTCGTCATTCTCTTTGAATAATATCGTAGATAGCGCGGTGCAGTAGTGCAGCGCTTCGTGCAGTGTTAACCAGTAGGTTGGACTATTTTAGACAGCCCCAGAGCAAACTAATAACCCATCACAAATTATGACTCACAGAACTCAACTCTCTTGACACTATTCTATGCTACAGTAAACTCAGCCCAATCCCCGCCACCCACCATCCATTCATCTGGTTCAAAAAGTAACCACGCTAATTCCCACCCCGCCCATCTATCCATACAGCGCTAATACATGAGCAACTTGACAGAACCTTCACATCTACCCCGCTATGCTAGAACATTACACTAACTAAGTAATGAGAGAAAGAAAGGAAAAGGAAGGGGAAAGAGGGGTATCTTGTCAGACGCCAATTAGAAAAGAAAAAACAGGAAGAACAGCACTCTATCCCCCCCACCCCTCCAACCCCGCAGTATCCCACTCCCCAACCTCCATCTTATCAATCTCCCTCCTAAAGAAGTCCCTCTCCATCTCCATCATATCCATGTCAGCGCCCATACTCTTCGGATACCTCCGAACATTATAGAAATGCGTAAGACTCCGGAGAGCCTGTTCCTGCGGTAAGCTCTCTTCAACTTCACTATCCACGTCGCCGCCGGAGAGCCAGTCGTCCTTCAGCTCTGGCCTGCAGAATAGATATATCGAGGTGATAACACGCATGTTCGACTGCCGCCACTTGCGGCCGCAGTAGGGCACTTGCCCCTTGAATACCTTGAGCGTGTAAAGGCGCAGGTCCTCCTGTGGACACTTCAGCGGCTTGCGGAGGATAGCGGAGGACTTGTACTGGACGAGGGAGAGGTTGCGGTGCGACTTGTTCTTGACGATTTTTTGCATTATTCGGACGAAGTTTATTGCTGTGAAGAAGTTGCGCCAGGAGAAGTCGGTTATGGCTTCCGGGGGGTGGGATGGTGGGGCGCCAGAAGGTGGCGGCGGTGGGGGGTCGGGTTCCTTTTGCTCGCGCTGGAATCTGAGGATTGGCGGAGGGCAGGCCTCGTCCTGCGAGGAGTCCAGGTAGGAGTTATTCGGGTTGGTTGGCGGCTTGGATTTTGGCTTGGGGTGGGAAGAGTGGAGATTGCAGAAGTTGAAGAAGGACATGTCCTTGCGGTCTGTCTTGGTGGTTACGGTTTGAACAATGTCCTGCTGGTTGAGTAGCCTGAGCACGAGGGGAAGGTAGTTAGAATCCAAGAGGAGCTGGGTCAGGTATTCGAACTTGAGCACGTCTGTTAAAAGGTATCAAATTAGTTCACAGCTCTATACCAACGGAGATAGCCAAAACCCACGAGAAACCCGAAACCATTTCAACATTCCCATCAAGATGGCACTGACGGCCTTGCTAGTGATCTCCCTAATCCTCTGGGCATCTGCCTCGTCCAACCTCCTCTTCTCATCGGCCTCGCGCTCTGCACGTTCCTTCTCTCGCTCCTTTTCACGTTCCCGCTCTCTCTCCCTCTCCTTCTCCCAATCGTTTGACGAATGTTCCGACCCGTCCTCGTTAATAGTGTTTAGTCCCTCTCCCCCGTCTCCATTAGCGCGACTCACTCCCGGAACCGCCCTTCCAAAGATATTCCAAGAACTCCTGATCGAGGACCCGGGATGGTCAGCCCTCCCAGTAGCTGGGTCAATATTTGCTGACCCTCTCTGACCACTGCCTTCGCTATCTATACATTCATTAGTTCCATGCGGTAGCCCGACCGATTCACAGACACGCTTACCTTCTTTATCTGCGAACGAAACCTGTTGGCTACCTGGTGGAGGCGGCGGTAGTGGCGGTTGCATGGGGGGTGCATTGAGATTGGCCAATATAACCTTCAAAAGCACAATCACGAACGATTGTAGCTGAGGCAACGCAGCTCTCTACAGAAAAATGTCAGCAATAGATACCAAGAAATAAAACATAGACAAGGGCTCAAGGTGGGACGGACATAGAACTCTTCTACTGACTCTAGCCGTTTCTCCTCCCACCGCCGGTCCCTTCCCTCGATCTCCTTCCTTTCCTTCAAGATCTCTTCGTCAACATCCCACCCCCTTTGGAATTTCAGAAATGCTTCTCGCTCATCCCACAGGTGCTTCATCGCCAGTGTAGATCTTACTCTCCCAGAAAATAAATCTCCAGCCTCCTTGATGCTCGTCGGAACCCCGCCACCACCTTCTACTCTAGAAAAAGTGTCATCATCCTCCTTCCACCAGCACTTTCCGGCAAACTTCTTATCTACATCAGAAGAGGAGGAAGGAGGATATAAGAAGGGGAAATTGTTGTTTGTTTGATAATTCTGTTTCTTCCCTCCTTTCCCACCAACACCCCCGGGAGACGGCGGAGGCGACGGGGCAGGAGTAGCAATGTGAACAGCCTTATTCAAGATAGATCCTAAATTCTCACCGCCACCCTTTCCCCCCAACAGCACATCACCATTCCCGCCCGTTCGGCCAGTCGTAGTATTAACGGCAGAAGACGGTAGAAAGGAGTTTGCAGCTAATTCAAAAGGAAAGAGAGGTTTTGGAGGATCGTATGCCGGATATTTAGCCATAATGTCTTGCCTAAACACATGGTAATCTAATGGCGATGCTGTGATTACTCCCTTGCCCACCTCCGGGTCCAAACCCGCCAGCCCGCGTGCATATGTCTTGACTTTCGCGAGATGTCTATCAGGCTCGCCAAAAACAAGTAGCATGGTTTTCCATGTGAGAAGGAGTATGTTCATAAGTGGTAAATCGACACTGTCCTCCCATCGCAAACGACCTAAAGTCTTCGCCAAGAATCCCAACAGACCACTCTCTCCCGGCAAATCAGCAATCTCGTCGCGGAGCGACTCAATTTGTTGATCCATTCCCGGCATTGCGCCCTCTGCATCCTCGTCATGGCGGCGAGTGACCTCCACCAGAAAGTATAATATCGTTAAAGCGTACCGGAGTTCCTTCCTATTCCATCCCCTGTCTCCTTCCTTCGTCTCATCTCTCGAATTACTACCCGCAGCAGCATACTCTAATTCTCTTCCTACCGAGCCTCGGACACAATTGAACAACGTCTCTACAAGCCCTGCCTGCCTTACTAGCGCAACGTTTTTCTTTATCCTGTCCAGATGGTCGTCTTCGGAAACAGTCTCCCCAAATACGCCCTGAACAACGTAGGCCAACCCCTCAAGACCTTTTACTCGTTCCCTCTGGTTGGTATGCTCGAGGAGGTCCGCACATCGAGATATAAAACGCCTCCGCTTGACATCTTTGCTAGCAGTCCATCTCGAGGGCCGCTTTCCGGCCAGTGATTCAACCTTCTGGTGCGGTGGGAGTGAGAGAAGAGGATAAGTTTCTTCAAAGGTTTGTTTAGAAAGCAGCAGGAGCGAAAGGTCGTTTGCGAGCGAATAAGAGAACCACTCGTTCAATTCCGCAGTAACAGCATCCGTAGAGGAGTAACGAAAGGCGTATTCCGGTTGCTGAGCAAGGGTCAGATTTCTTCCCGAAATTTCCTCAAGTGCACGACAAGCATTCAAACAGGTGGGGGCAGCAGCCGCAGCAGCTCCTGTAGAAAGCTCAACCACCGCAAACTCTCCTGTGGGGCGTGGGCAAAAAGAAAGATTGATCAACACACACCTTCAATCTAGGTGCCTCGACGACCAGCCTCTTCAGCTGCATAAAGCTCAAGGAATCTTGCGCCAATCCCGGTTGTCCCCCACCAGCATCAATGCCAGCGCCATCCCCACCACCCGTCGGGCTGGGGGACTCCTCCTCCTCTTTCATTTTGCTCGTGTCGATACGAACTTTGTTTGTGAGGTCTGCTGCAGATCCCGACGGCATGATAGGGGTGTCACCTCCGCCGCCCCCTCCACCACCGCCCCCGGAATTACCGTTAGTGTTGGCCAGCATGAGGTTGGAGGTTTGTATCGTGATGTCGGAGTGTGACATGGTGGCTAAATCACTTGCGTAGGTTTGGGAGGCTCCAGCCAGAATGTTGACAGGCATAGTAAGATTGGGCTGCCCCAATCGTCGCGTCTACCGGTATTGAGCGGCCCCTATCAAGGTGACGGCAGCTTGCTATTAGGTTTTGTGCAAGGTTACATAATAATTTCCTTGGGGTGGCCCTGTTACCCGGCAAGAAAGTGCGTGGGGGGTCCCAGAGGCTCCGCACACGGTACGAGTACAGTACTCGTAACTTGGACCAAGAATGATTTTCAAGAATCCGAGCGAGAAGTGATGGCGATTACAGTACCATGCCACACAATCTTGGATCCCCTCCCTAATATAATGTGCAATCGTGCTATTATATCATAGATCGTCCGATAAGGCCGCTGCTAATTAACTTATCCCATACCCGTTTGCACAACCCAACAATGCGCTTTCTTCCTCAACTTAAATTTACTCGTATATTAGGCACTTAGTACTATATGGCACGTTATTCCCATCATCACCGCAAATCCATCTCACTCCGTACGTTGCTCATGGATAAGGCGGGGAGGGCGTCGTATCAAACGGCCTTCACGTTCCCGACCGTTGGCTGGGCAAATTGGTAATAGTCTGTTCTAATCCGATTACCGGTATCCGCCTGATTGCTTGGGTCAAGATAAGAAGTTTCCAGTGGCCCCAACACCCCCACCACAATTTTAAGCCAATACCAAACCCAAGCCCCAGACTTGTATATATGATGGTGCCGGTGCGATACTACCGTCAAGGCCACCACTCCTGCTCCGAAATATTCGTACCGGCGAGCTTCAAAGGAACCTAAACCGGCAACAGTGGCGCATCACCAATACACGGAGCCTCCCACTCTTGACCCAACCTCATCCCAACATAGGGGGCGCACAAAATGCGGCTGCACACTCGCTACGCTCTCCGTCGGTTATCGCGAGGCTTCCACAGAACCAGCGCGCGCTTTTCCATTAAACGAATCCCAGTTCCCTTCGGAACACACATACAACCCTCCCTGCACATCACCGAAAAATGTCCCCCGAGCTGCGCCTGCTCCCTCGAGAGCTTGCCGGGGGGTCTGGATATCGATAGGGTTACCTCGCTGAAGGGAACTATGGCAAATTACTACCGCCACTTGCTCGTCTGCACGGGCCGTTCGGATTGGGCATCGAAAATCGAGTTGGACGTTGTAGAGCCTGGTGGCGGACTGGCTGGGAGGATCAAAGAGTTGACGTCAATGAGGGGTGGCGCGAGGAGGGATCTGAGGGACCCGTTTGCGCCGACTTTGGTCACTAATTCTTCCTTTGAACGGGAGCCAGGGGTTAAAGAAGGGCTAGGGGTAGCATCGGCTTATATTTTCCCTAGCGGGCTTTATCTGCCGAAGATTCCGGTTAGGGATGAGAGTGTTGTTGAACTTGTGAGGGGTTTTTTACTACCCGGTGGAGAGGATATTGTATCGACCTTGGAAACCAGGAAAGTTTTGGAATCGGTTGTGCTTATCTGTTCGCACAATTCTCGAGATACACGTTGCGGGCTTGTGGCGGGCCCCCTGAAGAGACAATTCGAGAGGGAGCTTGCGGAGAAGGGGATATTACTGGAAGGTCATGAGGGCGAGGAAGGGGGGGTTGGGAAGGTGCGGGTGGGTTTTACAAGTCATTTGGGCGGACACAAGTTTGCTGGAAACGTTGTGGTATATCGACCTGACGGCCTGGGCATATGGTATGGACGGGTTGAGCCAAAACATGTTACTGGGATTGTGGCGGAGACGATCTTGAATGGGAGGATTATCGGTGAACTGTGTCGTGGTGTAGTAGAAAAATCCAGGAGGATTGATGTGTAGATGGGAGGCAAGTACTTGTTGTATCATAATATTATAGTCTACCGTAGTACTTGCTGATCTGGCATTGTGTCATAATGGAATATAGATTTCCACTAATAATAAATCTCATCTTTAACCTTGTCTGAAAATCAACTATAAAAGTGGTAGAATATATATCTTTCCCGTCAAGGGTAATGAGAAGGCTTCACACTTCGAGATACCATGCTCGTATTTTATATTGGACAGGAGCCCACTACCCAAGTGAAATATGAAAAAGCGAAGAACCTTCCAAGAAGCTTATCATTTCCGGGGTAAGGGTGATGAAAGTGATATGATAGCCCAAAATTCTATGATATCATAATATCATACGATCCGTTATGATATATTTACGGAAATCAGTGATAATATGATACGATAATATTATTATTATCATAGATTAAAACCCCCCTCGGTATGCAAAACCGAGTGATATATAATCGGGTGACCCGGTTTCTAAGGGGAAATATCTCGAAGACTACAACCCTCGTTACTCCCGCTGCCCTGACAAGAAAAAAAATTAAAAACCAAGTTTACAGTATGGTGTGTTATCACGATAAGAGATTTCGGTTCTCTCTGACCTGCAGGCCACGATCTTGATGCGCTGCTACTGCGGAATACTTCCGCAATGATATCTGCAAAGAGAAATATTTGGGCATCAAGGATGATGTGAGTTCTCTGGTACCGCTATTTTCCGGGAGATGGAGCTTGGTAATTCGGATATCGAGTGATGCGTACCGTATTAGCCTGGCTGGTGGTGTGTGCAACATGTAGTGAGTGGTAGGTAATTGGGAAATTTGCGAAATTCCTAGAGACGGTTTCAATATCCTTCCGAAAACGCTAACCCGGATCATGCTTTCATAATACTGTATCAAAGCTCTTCCAGACCGGGATTGAAATTATCTCTACATCTCGAGTGGACACTGGAACCTACTAGAACTATGCAGACCTCCGACGAGTCAATTAGATCCTCACCCGATTTGGAAAGACATCTGTCTGTCTAGACTGATGTTGCACAGACATTAGATTAGTGGGGACTATCATACTGATCTGTGGTACAGTAAAGTACAGTAATTCCTCAACTCCAATCACCAATCCCATATCAACTATCATACTTTCAAGACCAAGAACAACCTCGCACAAAGGTGCAAAAAAAACAATAAGCAAAAAAAATAAAATAACGATTGCTATCGGTGACCTGTCAAAGCTTTGAAACCATTAATAAGGGCAATGATACACAAAAAGATAGAAACCCCATAGTCCCAAATGTATAGTAACCCATAATCTTCCACTAGTTATTATAACCAAGATCAAACCCACAAACCCCATTCTGGAAGAGGGGCCGTGCACGAAGCTTAATTCAACGACACTGCCACACCCATTCACAAGTCCGCCACAAATGCCCCGCTTGACACCAGAGCTGATCCGGACAGCCAGGAGGAGTCACGCGCTTCTCCCACTCCTTCTGCCAGAATGCCGGACAATCGAGCAGGCATCTATGGAGCTGCGCTGGCTGACGCGCGAAGGGCGGCAGCGGTGGGGAGGAGGAGGAGGAAAAGGTTGGTTGAAAGCCCTCTGCGAGAAACGTGGGCGTGGATGGCCGCTGCAGTACCTGTTGGGTACCCAGCCGTTTGGGGCTTTGGAGATGATATGTGAGAGAGGGGTGTTGATTCCGAGGTTTGTGCCATGATATTGTTTCTTCCTCTGGTGTTCTACTGGCAGCGGGACCACCGGGTTTCTGATTCTTGCTTCTGTTTTAGACCGGAGACGGAACAGTCTGCTAGCCATCTAGGTGGCCATATGCTTAAACACCTGCACCCGCACTCGCAGGTCAGGATTGTTGATTTATGTACTGGGACGGGATGCATTCCACTGCTCCTACACAATCAATTATCTGCGGCAGGGATGTCTTCACGAATACTTGGTGTTGATATTTCGGTTAAGGCGCTGCGATCGAGCAAACGGAATCTCGAACATAATGAAAAAGTGCTGTCGGCTAACGCACGTGAAGATATCGAGTTCTTCGGTGGTGATGTTCTGGCAGTGGATAGTTTGGTCGAAACAATTGGGGGAAAGCTTCAAGGGGTAGACATAGTGATATCAAACCCACCATATATTTCAAAGGAGTCATTCAATAGATCTACCGGCCGCTCCGTCAGGAACTACGAACCTAAGCTGGCGTTGGTGCCAAAAGGTGGTAACGGGGATATATTTTATCCCGCCATTGGACGGGTTGCGGAGAGTCTGGGATCTCAAGCGGTTATAGCTGAGGTTGAGGGATGGGAGCAGGCAAATCGGGTCAAGCAAGAATGGGCAGGAAGTGGGGTTTGGGAGGGCGTTGGTATATGGAAAGATTTTGCGGGAATTGGAAGGACGGTGGTTGGATGGAGACGCGGATGGGAGTGGATTCGAGATGGACCGGATGTAGTATCGTATTATAGAGATTGGGGGGAATGACCTAGGTACAAGGAAAAAGGGTGTGATATTAATGATGTTTGTTGATTGGGGATAATGAGAAAGTAATATTATTTTTCAACATTGAGGAACCCCTGGTTTTCCACGCCAATAACTCGCATCCATCCTTCTGCCAGCCACTCTGGGGCCGCGATCAATAATCCGTTTCTCCTTTTCTCAACATTTAATCCGAAGCGCTCGGCTGCAGTTCTCTTGTCCTATCATCTCCAACCGGAAGCTTCTTCATCATCATCATCATCGTCATCGCTGTCGTCTCTGAAGCCTTCCTCTAGATCTCTGTTGCGGGTCTCTCGGTTATCATCATCCCTAAGCCGGACGCGTCCCTGCGCCGAAAATGTATCGGAAAACGTCCGAGGAAGATTTCTTAGAGGGATGATATTGCGCTTCACCAGTAATGGCCGGAGGGCATGGCGGTAGGTGATAAAAAGAATTGCCGAGCAGGTTAATGTGAGAAGTATTGTCTGTAGACTTGTTAGTCTGGCTCCCCAAAACAGTGTTTTCTTGGGTAGATTCTCGGTGGCTCACAGTAATAAAGTTAGCGACAGTACCCATCATGGTGGTTCATGAGATTCGAGGGATGAGTCCAAACACCGCCGTAGATATGGTATGAGTACGGAAGCTCTCCAAAGGTGATTTATTGTGGGATGAGGCTGAGAGGTCTCGAGGAGCTGTCTGGTGTGCCGAAGGAAGCTGAGGTGAAACAGGGTTATTTACCAGGATCACAAAGGGGACTTGAAGTGAAAAAAAAGAAAAGAAAGGAAACAAATTTAGGTGTGTAGAAATCTATCTTGTCTGCTGATCGCATTCTTGGGGAGAATAAATGCCTTCTATGCAGAGCGGTACATGTGGGAGTTTTGCATTTACCAGGCTTTTCTATCCTCACTGAGGTATGATACCGTATCATCAACACCTTTTGAGGAAGAGTAACCTCAAGACACCCCTGGGACTTTCCTCTTTCTAGCAGTGATAGGGGGGTTCAGTTCAAAATTGACAAGGGTTGACACTACTTTGTTCGATCGCCTATTGTTGAGCACCGCACACTCCTTCCATACTCGAGTAGACGCAGAGAAGGCGGATTGAACCCTTACTTTCGACTATCCGTACACATCTCCTTCTAAAAAAACTTATCTCACCTTGTCTCCCTATTTTCGTCTAAGTGTGACGATTCTTTCTCACCACCTCCGTTACTCCTCGTGGTGTCTTCTGCCCCATGGAAACGAAGTGAAGCGGCACGACACGAACCGATTCTTTGTTTTTCCCCCCACAAAAAAAAAAAATTCTCTGGGATTAGCAGTGTGGCGCACTCGGCTGGGTTTGAGTTTTCAAGCTCCTTCGTGATCGAGGCAGCTAGGAGGAGAGGAAAATAGTAGGAAAAACCGGCAGGAGCTAACTAGTTTAGAAACAGCAAAAAGACTGAACATACACAAGCTGGCTTCACTCGGCATCTGGTTTCCGAGACAGCGAGGGGAGGATTTTAATTCCTACATCGGGTACCTGTTTCGTGTGTGAACTGGTATTTGAAGTGCCATACGGCCTGGGTGAGGGGTATCTCTCGGTGATACGAGCAACTGGGAGGGGTACAACGCTGGGAAAGCTTGCAGGTTAGGAGGGAGGGCAAGCTAAGAGAAGTTATCGCAATCCGGATAACGGGACCCCTGGGTTGGATCCATCGCTGGACAAAAGGTTGAGCATTGCACTGTCTTGCCCTACACTCTCTCCAAAATTTGGCATACCTAGCCACACACTACTCGGACATCCTCTATCACCGCCACAAAGATTATTACTTCTGAAAACAACCTTGCTTTCAAGAGATTCGCGACGGCTTCCTACCTTTCTAGCTGAAGAGCAGACCCGTAAAGAACTCGTGTGCTGCGGATGATCGAGCAAAAACCGTTGCCCCAAACCCCACGGCCCACGACTCCGTCATCCCCGAAACCGGAATCAACCTCATTTCTTCAACACGGTGCTATCATGTCTTCAAATTCATCTGGAGGAACGGCTCGTCAATCGAGTGGAAAAACTTCTATATTCTCGAGGAATAAATTGTCGAAAGTTGCGCAGTTCTCCTCGTCTACACCGAAAGGAGGCGAAACATACTCATCATCAGATGCAGATCCACCCAAGTCTCGAGGCAAGAGTCACCACCGGCTTTCCCTGTCAAGTACGAAAGGAGACCGAGATAATAGAGATAGTCACTACTATCCTTCGGAATTATCACCAACGATGGCCAATGGGTTGAACTATTCTGCTGGTGTAGTTACCTCAATACCCTATGATTCAGTAGCAGCAGATCTGAACCGGCAGCCGGTTCCGGGGCCCGCAGATCATCCTCGCCCTGTGTCTCGAGGCGACGAGCAGGTCACTCCTCACGCATTAGGACGAACGGGAGATTTTCATCAATATCCTTCTGTGTATCCTCAGCAGCAAGATCAACATTATTCTCATCCTTCGGGACCAAGGCCACCCCCTTCCAACTCTTCTTCGACAACAGTGACTCCTCCAGCACATCATTATCATCATCAGGGACCGCCGAGTCCCTACACGAACGCAACATTTTCGTCTCGTCAGCAACATCACGACAGCAATTCCTCTACGCCTAGCTTCTACAATTCTATGGTTTCCAACTCATCAAATTCTACTTATCCCCGATCTTCCTCTGACCAGAATTCCTTGTACTCTTCTATTTCTTCCACCACACGAAACTCAGTTCTTTCCGTAACGCCCAGTGTCGCTGACCTAATTCCTTCCCCCATATCGTTTCAGTCTGCGGATGGGTTTACGCTTGAACGACCGCGGGATGACCGTGTTGTGGAGGCCATGTTTTACGAATTAATGGAAAAGCGTGGGTACATGAATCTTCCTGAACAGGCCAAACGACAAATGATGGCTTATCCACCGAGCAAAAAATGGGTTATGGTTCACCAGGACAAACTAGCCGATTTCCAAGCGGAACAGAAAAGGCGAGCTGCTGCCCAGGCGCAAGGGCGCGACCCGGACGAAGACAGTCCGGAGTGGTATGTGAAAAAGATAATGGATGGGACCATTAGCGCGAAGCAGCTCGGGAGTCTAAGTGTTTCCCTGAGAACACAGCCAATCAGGTATGTGAAGCCTCCTAGAATATGTCATCTAAAAATGACTGATGAACTCCGCCCCCTGTGGTATAGTTGGGTAAAGGAGTTTATTGAAGCCCAGGGACAAGTTGCTCTTACTACTGTTCTGCGGGGTATAAACAATCACAGTGGAAAAAATAGTGGAACCGATGCAATGCTTGACCGAGAATATGATATTGTTAAATGCTTAAAGGCGTTGATGAATAACAAATATGGTGCAGACGATGCTCTCAGACACCACCACTGCGTATCCGCTCTTACGGCATCCCTTACATCGCCAAGGGTAACAACTAGAAAACTCGTCAGTGAGGTTTTGACCTTTTTGTGTCATTGGGATAGACCGCATGGCCACACTAGGGTTCTTGCAGCACTAGATCAAATCAAAACGCACCAGGGCGAAAACGGGAGATTTGACTCGTGGCTCAGAATTGTGGAAGTCACTATCGATGGTAGAGGCAAGCTTGGAAGTCTTGTGGGCGCTAGCGATGAAGTTAGATCTGGGGGTATTGGAATGGAGAGCTTGCTTATGGAATACGCTTTGGCTACCCTATTCCTTATCAATATAATAGCCTCGGGAGCCGATGACCTGCACGCCAGAATTCACATCCGGGCCCAGTTCAAAGCATGTGGGTTTGGGAGAATAGCGGCTAAGATGCAGGGATTTCAGTACGACTTGATTGAGAAGCAAATCCAGAAGTATGAAGAGGATGCCGCCGTAGACTATGACGAACTCATGGAAAGAGATGGAGGAAGTATGGTTGATAGTCTCGATGGCGATCCGAAGGATTTGAATGACCCAGTAGCTATCGTGGATGCTATTATGAGCAAAGTTCGGGACACCAGAACTCAGGATTATTTCATGTCAACATTGCAACATCTCCTACTCATGAGGGACAATAATAACGAGGACCGGCTCCGGATGTTTCAACTCGTTGACTCGATATTGGGCTATGTAGTTATGGACCGGCGTTTACCAGATATGGATCTGAAAGCGAGCCTTAACTTCTCGGTTCAGGCTTTGATGGACAAGCTGCACACTGACGGTGAGGCCAGGCACGCATTGGAAGAGGCTAGCGAGGCTAGGCAAATTGCAGAGAGTGCAATTGCTGAACGAGATGCTATGAGAGCTCAAGTCGACATGGGCGCGGACGGCCTGATTGCAAGGTTGAAAAAGCAATTGGAGGAACAAACCCAGGTCATTGAAATCCAGAGGAGGCAGAACGAGGGTTTGAAGGGGGAGCTAGAGGAAATTAAGCTTGCGCATGCTATGCAGATGCAAAAGAGTGAATTGGAGACTAGAGAGCTATATCTCATGCTTCGTGATGCTCAAGATGCAACTGATGCAGCGCATGCTGAAAGGGTTAAGCAGGCGAAGAAGGAGGGTAAGCCCATACCAGCGGAAGCCGATGTTACGCAAATGAAGGGAATATTGGACCGCCGGCGGTTGATGTTACGGTTAGAAACTCAACTAGAGAGAAAGAAGACGGAATTCAAACTGGAGGGCAAGGTATGGCAGCAGGTTGCCCCAAGTGACAGGCTGAGAGAATTGAGGGAAAGAATGGATGCTGTGCAAAGGGAGGCTAAACTCCTTGAACGGGAACATTTCGAGGAAGCTGCTCGGCAGAGAAATGTCTCTGCAAACTTTGGAAGTGTTAAACATAAAGGCAGCCAATACCCTAGCTATCGGCAAGTCTCCGTTCCTGAAACGCTGGCTGAGCGAGAGAGGATGCGTGGAGACAGGGAAGATGGAATTGCGGAGGAGTCTGATGATAATATTTTCATTGAGTATGCGACACCAAGGATCATTGAAGTTGGCAAGAGACCACTTGCAAGCAGGGACCGCTATACACCGAGGGCAAAGATGAATCCCGAGCGAGCTACAGGGATCTTGGGGGAAATTGCCGCCAGGGTTCCAGTCATCGACCCAGACGAAGAAGACAAGGGGGCAGAGGCCAAGGATATCTCAGATGCTGGGGATGGCGTGGCCACCAGGCGCTCGCGCCCGGGCATGGAGTCAGACTCGCCAAAGGCTCCGGTAGATGTGGAGGTGCCCCCGAGTGGGGGTGCGGGGTTCGCTGGACCCCCGTCCCCCCCCGCCCCCCCGGCGGGCTCATCTCTTATGCCTGGATTTTCAGCATCTGTGCCTCCACCGCCCCCTCCACCGCCAATGCCAGGGTTTGGTGGTGCCCCACCTCCTCCACCCCCGCCTATACCAGGCTTCGGGGGTGCTCCGCCACCACCACCCCCTCCAATGCCAGGCTTCGGCGGCGCCCCACCTCCACCACCTCCCCCTATGCCAGGCTTTGGTGGTGCTGCTCCGCCTCCGCCCCCGCCTATGCCTGGCTTTGGCGGTGCACCACCCCCTCCCCCGCCCCCACCTCCGGGTGGATTCAAGATTGGTGGGCCTCCAGCGCCAGGTATGCCACCACCGCCCTCTATGATGCCTGGTGCTTTCCCTCCCACAAGCGGACTTGCAGGATCCTTTTACACAGGCATCAGACCCAAAAAGAAGCTCAAGCCCATGCATTGGGAAAAGCTCGACGGCGTTGAGTATACTCTCTGGGCAAATCGTATCGACAAGGAAACTATGTTTGATGAGCTTAGCAAGAAAGGTATTCTCGAGGAGATGGAGCGTCTTTTCGCGTTCAAAGAGACTAGGATGTTGAAGAGGGGCAAGGGTAGCGAAGAGAAGAAGAAGGAGTTTTTGGATTCCGGTGTTGTCAAGAGTCTTCAGATTGCGCTCTCGAAATATACTGGATTGTCAATTGAACAGCTTGTCAAGAAAATCGTCAGCTGTGATAAAGATATTTTGGACAACACCGCTATCATGGACTTTTTGCTCAAAGAGGAAATGTGTAATATCAGCGACAACCTTTCAAAGAACCTGGCGCCGTATAGTACGGACTGGACAGAGACCGACGCCGAAAAACAGAAGAGGGAGTCTGATCCAAATGAACTGAGGAGAGAAGATTACATCTACTTGGAAACGGCCTACAATCTCCATCATTACTGGAAGTCAAGGATAAGAGCCCTAGCACTTACAAGAAGTTTAGACCCAGACTATACGGAGCTGCAAGGTAAACTACACCAAGTTGTTAAGGCTTCAGATGTCGTTCGGGGATCCAAGGCCTTCCACGGCGTTCTGAATGTAAGTCATTAGAAATCACTCGGCGGGTCACGTGAATTAACTCATATTTTCAGGTCATTCTTACGATGGGAAATTTCATGAATGACGCTAGTAAGCAAGCAACCGGTTTTAAGCTTGGTACGCTCTCGAGGTTAGTCAATGTCAAGGATGAGAAAAACCAGCGCACATTCATGGATTACATCGAAATGTCTATCCGGAACAAATTCCCTGAATGGCAATCATTCGTGGACGAGCTCTATGAGTGTATTTCACTTGAGAAAGGTTAGCGCCGTAGTTGGTGTGGCGGTGTGTCTCTAAAAGTATATACTGACTCATTGGAAATAGTGGATGTGGATAATTTGATGATGCAAGCTAAGAGGTTCATCGATAACATTAACAATATCCAGGCGTCCGTGGACTCAGGAAGCTTGAGCGATCCCAAGAAGTTTCACCCCTCAGACCGTGTGTTACAAGTGGTGTTGCCAATTTTGCCGGAAGCGAGGAAGAAGGCTGGATATCTCAAAGATCATCTTGAGGCCATGACTAAGACTTACGATGACCTTTTAACCTACTATGGCGAGGATCAGACAGACGAGACCTCGAGGAAGAGATTTTTCAAGATGATTTCCGATTTTGTAAAGAACTATAAGGTAAGAATTTTCCTTTACATTTCTGGTGCAATACACTAATCTAGGTCTTTATCTAGGCATCTAACCAGAAGAATTTGGAACTTGAAGATGAGGAAAAACGGCGGGAGAAAAGAAAGCAGCTTCTCAACGCAGCTGCACAAAACCAGAAAGCCAGTGGGGGCCCGCTTTCGCCCGACAGCTCCGGTGCGATGGAAGCCTTGTTCGAGAAACTGAAGCAGGCTGGACCGGCCCAAAGGGAAAAACGCGAGACTCGCCGCAGGAACCTTGCAAGGGGCGGTCGAAGAACTGCTTCCGGCGCGAGCCGAACAGCATCGGGAGCAAGTGTCGCCGAGAGCGTCGCTGGAGAGCAGCCAACTCCGCCAAATGATACCTCACCTTCCCTCTCACCACTTCCCCCGATACCTTCCTCAGCAACTGAAGAAGAGGATGCGTTAACCTCAAAAACGCAGGAAATGTTAATTCAATTGAGAGGTGAGAATAGTGGGGATTCGTTGGTTGCTTCGACGACATCCGGAGCTCAAGGGGCTAGTGCTATAGGAAGTCTGAGGGTTAGGCGGCGGAGGGGTAGTGGAGAGGATCTCAGGAGGGAAAGGCGGCGACGACAAGGCAGTAATGTCTCTGCTACGGGGGCGGCTGCAATTGTGGGTAGCGTCAACGGGGAAAGTGCCGAAGATGCAGTGGCTAGGGCCAAGTTGGCCCTCATGAACATGCGAAGGGGATCGGACGATGCAACCGACGATGAAGCGGGACTCTCCAGTGAGAGATTACCAACACCTACCACTATAGTTTCTCCACCTTCTCCCGAACCTCAGAAGCAGAATGACGACTAATCCCTTCCCTGGGTTGGCTTTTTTGTCTTTTTGTGTTACCTTAGAGTAATTAATGGCAGCAAGAGATATTTGTTTTTATTTAATTTTAGTAGTCTTTCAGGGCGGAGTTTTCTTTTTCTTTCTTCACTTCCTCATTTCCTCATTTCCTTTTGTCATCGGTAGCTCGGACGGGCAGGAGGGGGGAGGATAGCACAAGGTTGGGTTGGGTCTTTTTTTTTTTAACTTTGTTTCCTTCGTCAATCAGATTACTGTCTTCCCTTCCTGTATATGCCCACTTCTATCTTACGGTACTTGGATTGCAGTACCACTAACGCACTCTCCCCTCGAGCTCCTTTTTCCCCCTTTCACTGCGGTCTTATCTGATTGGGGGGGGGGGGAGTTCTGTTTATTTATTTTTGGATCTACGTATGCATGCTACCTGCCAGCCACGATGTCAAATCTCTTGTAATTTATTTTTTCCTTTACTTCCTCCTTGTTTTATGCATTTGATAGGACAATTTTTGTATCGCACGGATCGGATAGGATTGGATTGGGGGAGGGGAGGTAGTGATCAATTGTACTGTACAGAATGAATGTTAGGCAGGTAGATTCACATTGAGTATTACACGAACTTGTGCGTTTTGCTATTGTATCATAATATTATTACAAATAGTGGCAATGATTGTTTTGAGAGATGATGGGTGGATTCGGGAAGTGCCCGTGGCGAGATGACGAGATGCGCCCGGCGGACGCCCTCGTTTGTAACTTACCTTCAGCTGTTTCTCGAGAACTCACTCCTTCCCGACTTTTACGATTAATCCTGCTCCAGCAAATGCTGTAAAGGCAACCTTCATGCTCTGAACATAGCGTACTATAATCTAAGTGAAGTGTACAACCAGCATGCTCCGAAATGAAATTGCCGAAGTCACCTTATCCGAAAGGCACGATTGGCTCTCATGTGGTGCGAGAACGCCGAGGGTGGGAGAGGGTGACCTGGAGTTAAACCTTTTCGCTCTTATTATAGGGCTTTTCTGCCCCAAATAGTAGGGTTCGTTGGTGGCTCCTGCATTGATTGCACATTATGTCACTCATTGCTAGGATATTGCGCACAGTTGAAATCCGTACAGTGCGGCAGTGGATCCGTCTGATGGATTCGGAAGTGCAATTCTTGGTCCGGGAAAGTATCATATGGTTTGACTATGCTAATGATATCCCCTGGTGTTTCGTGTTCAACCGTACCCACCCGGTAATGCGGCGCTCTTGTGGCCTAGCAGAATACTGCGGTCTACTCATGGGAAGGTAGCCATCTGGGGCTTGGAGTAGTTTACTCTCTACACAGGAGAAGTCGTATGAAGAAAATCCATGGGTTAAAATGTTGTGATATTTTGATTTGAAGTCAGTGACTTCAGAAATCCACCAATACCTAAATGTAACAACATTCAAGATATGACAGCCATTACAGAATGGCAGACCTATACCCATACTGGTGTCAAGAGAATGCTGTATTATAGTAGGAATATTTGAAGTTGAAAAGGTATGGGAGTAGAAATGAGTTGATACCTAAGACTACATTAGTATACTAAAAGTATAGGGCCAACAGGATTATAGAGTACTTAGTATTATAGTTGAGGTCTGCAACAGGGGCTCCCTATGGGAAGATGGATCCCAAGAGTGTGACTGTATTAAATTAAATTCTTTAGAAGATAAAGATAAATAAAAGTCTCAACATCTTAGCAATAGAGTGATAGGAATGAATGAGGAAGTTGAAGGATGATGCTAATTGATTGAGTTCCTCCACTCTCCATGTTTTCCTTTTAAGCTTATCTGGTCATAGTGCTCACCACTATAACAGTCCTAACACCTATTCTCTACTGAACTCTAGGTTCCAGCTAGTTACATAGAATATCACTACATTTGCCTTCCACTTGTAACGTGTTTGCAAGGTGCTAATCATGTTATCGATTATGGATACGATAGTTGGCAGGTGGCCTGCTCTTCCGGAGAGGAGGCGAGAGCTGAGAACTAAAGGAGGCTTTGAGGGTGTATTGAGGAACAAAGAAGTAACCGCTCAACCAAGTATATTGAAATACAGTCTGTCGAAGTCTGCCTTTTCTATCGTAGAAACAGGTGGTCTTTAAATACACAAATCTGTTCATATCTAGCATGAACGAAACTAATCAAAGGTATCAATTGATACACATTGGTGAAACTAGTTAAGTATCAAAGCGATACTTAAAACATAAAACAAAACTAAGTATCAAACAATACTTAAAACAAACCAAGTATCAAAGCGATACTTAAAACAAAACATAAGACAAAACTAAGTATCAAATGATACTTAAAACAAACCAAGTATCAAAGCGATACTTAAAACAAAACATAAAACAAAACCAATAACTGAGTACCCGTACCGGTTACATTCCCTAAAACAAAACCACTGTTTAAACAAATAAAACCTAATAATCATCAAAAGCGGATTCCGAGAAACTAAAGGCTTCAGTTTCCGCTATCAGCTCTTCATCATAAGTGTCACCAGAGACAAGAAGAAATTCTAGGAAAACATTTAAACTCAAAGAAATGTAAATCACAATAGTGACGAATACCAGATTCATGCTATACATCAACCTAAGTATTGTCGCAATCGGGACAGTAATCTATCCAGAGGATTTCGAAATAATATTCAAGTTGGATAACATCGCGGTTCAACAACAGTCCAACAATCTGTTGTTGCAGCCTCACATTAAGTTGCACATAGTTTGACATCATTATGGTATTCGGATAGTGGATGGTGATCAGATAAGATCGTTGAGAGCCTGCTCCATATCTTGATTTTCCTTATCACGGCTTTCGAATTCCGACTCGAAGTATGGTGCCCAAAACCCATCTCTAGTTTCGAGTTCCGCATGCCATTGCTCAGTCTCTGGCATCGTAGGTATCCAGCACATGGTGATGTAGTTGATCGTTGGGGGGAGAGGGATTCGTTTAGCATGTTGTCTTTCCACCATTCGTTCACCATATCCATAGTGTACTCTGGTCCTTCTAGTGGTTCCCAGCTATTTTCGCTCGTTGCGTATCCTTTCTATTTGACCAGGAACTGATCATTTCCATGCCACAGGCGGTGATTTCGGATTTCTTCAACTTCCCATTCATGTTTCTTATCAATGATGATAGGTGCAGGTCGAGAGTGGGTTCTTCCAGGAAACTTGGAGTCGTCATTTGGGTAGTATCACTTGACAGCAGAGGCATAGAAGACTGTAGTATTGCAGCGGTACATGTGTCTATCCATCTGGATAGTGTAGTTTTCTGTATGCTCGTCAAAGGATAAGACCTTGAAAGGTCCTCGCCATCGAGGTTGTAGTTTCTTGCTGCGTCCAACATTGGTAATGAACATGTTTCCATGTACCATGAGCATATCACCTGGTGGAATAGGGACATCTTTGCATTGTCGCTTCTGAGCAGTAGTGGTACTTCGGAATCGGGCAGCTTTAACAGCTTGGAAGCCATCATTCCAAATTGCTTGATGGCGGTTTAGATGGTCATCGGAGGCAGGGACTGAGGAGTTCTTAAATAGAGTTGTGGGTAAGAGAGGGTATTGATGGCCGAAGATTGCCTTGTATGGAGACATTCCCAAGGTGTCTGAAAATCTAGCTTTGATATATGCGGCCAGCTCAACAATGGCTAGTTCCCAATTAGTTTGTTGTTCATTGATCATGCTCCTAATTCAAGTCTTGACGTCACTGATTTTTCGTTCTGCTTGACCATTAGTCTCATGATGTTTGGGGGCAGCCATAATGTGGTTGATTCCGAGGTAGGTCAAAGTTTGCTTCCAGAATCTGGCAGTGAAACGGGGATCAGCATTACTGACAATAGATAAGGGGTACCCATGGGGGGTAAATAGGTATCGTTGGAGGTTATTCCAGGTGTCTTTGGAGGAATCAGTAACCTTCATTGGTATGAGCCATGTGTATCCAGAAAATCGATCCACAGCTACCAAGATGGTGTCATATCCTGTGGACTTATTGAATGGTCCTGCGAAATCGATAGCATAGGATTCGAATATTTCACATGGTAGTTGGAGGGTTTGTGCTTTCCCTTCTGGTAGTTGTATTCACTCCTTATTTGCCTGGCAGAGTTCACATTGTTTGATGAAATTGCGGAAGTCCTTTCGCATTTCAGGCCAGTAAACATATTTTGAGGTATATTGGAGGTTGCGGTCCACACTATGGTGTCCTTTGTTGTAGATTTCAGTAATAACATATTCCCTAATAGTCATTCCATTGAACATATGGCCTGTTGGGATGTATAGGTAATGTTCACTATAATGGGTGCTGGTATAGACCATTCCGTTGGATATGTTATAGGGGGCGAGATCTCCATGCCTGGAGCTATCCATAGCTTTGAAGTAGATCGGGTCATGGCAATATCCTGCTATTATTTGGCTTCGGAAAGAGGAGGTTAGTACTTCTGTAGTTGATCTAACATCTCGTTCATCCTCGATGAGAGATCCTCTTGTCGGTTCGATAGGAGTTTCCTCTTCTTCAAAGGTTTGATAGAGTTGTTGGCAATGCTCGGGAATCGTGGGAGACATGACAGAAACAATGGTTTCATTGTTGTATACTCGTAAGGGTCCACCATATAGTGGTCATGAATTGAGTATGGGGGGAGAGGATGGCGGAGCTGACTGTGGAGGGTGTAGGTAAGCTATTGCATCTACGTAGACTGCTGCTTGTTCGAGTTCTTCAAGACCTTAGTGTCGTGTTGGGACAGGATTAAAGGTATGGAGAGGTTGGGTCGATCCATCTTCATCGATCATCTCTTCTGCTCCTTCTGCGGTGTTGAAGCTGGTATTTTTGGAATTGTTAGCAGATATATAATATGGTCGCTGGTATCTGTTGCCGAATTTAATTTCAGTCTGGGGAAAGGGGCAAGTATCGAGGTAACAGTGGGACCAGTGGAGTCTGCTTTGTTCAAGCTCATGAGGAGGTGTGCTGTGGAGGGTGCAATTGTCTTTCTATTCGTCATCAATGTCTTTTCCTTGTTCTGTTCCGGCAGCTCTGTACATGGTGTAAGAGAAAAGATTGGAGGGAGCGGCAGAGCTGGCGGTAGCCATCGATGGTTCTTGTTCATAGGAGGTATCGTCAGGGCTATTTTCGCTTTGTCTTGTATAGTCATGAACAAGAGGAGGGTCTGGGAGTTCTTGGTTCTCATATAGGTAGGAGAGAGCATCAGCTAAATAGTTCGTTCTTCCAAGGGTATAGATGATTTTTGCATCGTATTTGCTAATCTCGCCTATCCATCATGTTCTTCTTCTTCCAGGTATTTTTTCCGTTTTAAGATTAGTGAGATGTTGGTGGTCGGTAACAATCATGAAGGTATTGCCCATTAGGATGTGGTTGAAAGCGGTAAGAGTATCAATCACAGCGAGGGCTTCCTTGTCCATCATTCCATAGTTCATCTGTGAATTAGTGAACTTCCTGCTGTGTAATGCTGCTAGTCTTGCTGTTTCATGGGTGGCTCCTTGTCCAACCCATGCTCCAACTCCTACATCTGATACATCAGTAATCAGCCATATCGGTTCTAGTTTACTGTAGTCGATGGGTTGTATAACATTG